GCAAAACACGACGCTACGGAGTAGTACAATAACGCGAACTAAACACGCGTACACTTGGTTTTATATCATTATACCTATCTGCCGAGCCGCCGTGTGCCACCGCGCGTTGTAATTATTGTAAAAGGTTGTTAACCTCTCGGGGGAATGCTCCACGGTGTATAATGTAGTGTCTGCCGCGGCCTCAGTCGTATAAAAGGGCATTTGATACTATGCTCTACGTATATATATTGCGCGCAGAGGTCTCGAATTATGATGGCCATCTAGAGCTCACGCGCCTACGCGTCTTATTTTAATGCACAACAAAAAAATGTAGAATAAGCGTCTCCGATTCACGAGCCTAGGTGTATGTCACCCAGGCAGTATCTCGTTGAAATAATTATCCACTCGCGTGCCCGGCCAAACTCGTATGCCGATTTTTCTTATTATAATAAAAGCAATGGAAAATGGCGAGTCATAGCTACGAGTTGTTTATTAAATTCCCCTTTACGATTGTACAGCTATGCATGTAAGCAAGTACATAATAAAATCGTAAGGAGAGAAACTTTCGAGACCTTGACGGCAGCTCAGAAGGATATCGTATGACCGAGTCGCTTGTATATGCCCATAGAAACTTCAATAAACAGGGATATAATTTGCGCGAAAAAGAAGACTTTTATATCGATTAAGAGAACAGTGATTGAGACGCGTTATGGAGAGGGGTAGCAATGTCGATGGAGCTTTTTTTCTTTAACGCGATCCGTATAAAAATGATCGAGGTCAAAGCTCGAGTGTCACCCGTCTGTCGATACGCATACGTGGGTGGCTGCGGGGTATCATCCTTCGAGGGGGAACAAAAGATTACCAAGTCAGAAGACGGGGCCACGAATTCGAAGAAAGAAAGTAGCAAGGGATGCGGAGGATGGACGTATTCTGAACATATATGAGCAACGAGAGTGACTCACCTCGTGTATTTCAACGCGAAAAAGTCGTCTTTCTTACCTCTCTCTTTCTCGCACATATGCGCACACATACACAGAAACACACGTGTATGTTTATACACGCACGTACGTACGTGCAGCCGAAGAAAATGAGAAAAGTAAAAAAGCGGAGAAAGAATAAGAAGAAGAAAACGTGACGACGACGCGGCAAAAGAAGGAGGCGGCAGTCAGACAGGCATCGAAGCAGGCAGCAGCGGCAGGCACGAGCCAAGGCGAGTAAACCCGTGAGAGTTCATTGCGCTGAGAGGTTAAAAAACTCCGCCGAGCTCTCCTCCTGGCGCGAGGAGGCGGTGGCGGAGCGAGAGAAAGAGAGTCAGACAGTCGTCGTCGTCGTCGTCGTCGTCGCCGCCGCCACCGCCGCTGTGTTATGCTGCGCGTATAAAACAGAATGTAAGATACACACGCATGCACGAAGCGAAAGAAAAGAGCCGAGTTCGAAACTCGCGCTGAAAATTGCACCGCAAGGACTACAATATCAAGGTATCTCTCGTTTGAGTTTCCTTCTGTAGTAGCTGAAAATGTTAATATAGCGTAGTAACGGTCGTTCCCGTTTTCATTTTTAGTTTTATAAAAAAAAAGGTTCAAACGAAAACTCAGAAAATGTGTTGGAAAATTTTAATTTTGACCAGGCTTGGGTATAGGCAGGAGCCCAACTCGGTCGTGTTGACATTTTGCAGAATGAAACTCGAACGAGCGTACTTGAAATACAGCGCATGTACACACATAATTATAGGTGTAATATACGTGTACGCGCGAGCTCTGCCTCGGTAACGGGAAAGCCGGTACCTATATTACACGGCTTATGTATATACGTAGCCGGCTTCATGCAGCGCAACCGATCTAGCTCCGAACCTCTCTGATGGCAGCGCGAGCGTGGAAAAAAGCCGCAAGTGCGCGAGAATTTCGCGCGCGCAGCTGACGCCGCAGGGAGAGCGAGAGAGAGAGACAAGTCAGCTGAGTGCAGCTGAGTGCAGCGCGGCGGTATCGGCAACAGCGCCAAGCAGCAGGAAGAGAAAAAAAATCTCATACCCAGAAAGAGAAAGAGAGAAAGAGAGAGAGAGAGAGACAAAGGAGATGTGGTTTCGCGATAAAAGAGATCTGCAATGCTTCCATGCTAGGGCCGGTGCGCACGTGCAATATTATATTATAGCACATGTTTTCTCATTGGCTATCTCTTTCGAGCTCTCGAGTCGACGAGCTTTCGCTCGATATATTTTTCTATCGTTAATGCTATATAATACGTCGCCGTGAGAAATTGATCTAGCCAGCCTATAGTAGTGCACCTAGTGCCAGGTAGAAATAGAGAGAGAGAGAGAGAGAGAGGAGGAGAAAAGGGGCGCCCACCGCGCGAGCGGTTATTCGATCTGGATAATATAATGTACGTACGCAGCTCCGAGGAAAATCGATGATTGGCAAATTGCTATTGTTTTGCTTGCTCTCGCCGCGATGACTTACGTCCGCATCTTAAAGCATTATCGCGTCTTTGGATCATTTCCCAAGCGTGCGCATACACACACACAAACACATTGACTTTTGGTATACTTAGATAACGTATAGTTAATTTATATCGTATATCCGAGAATATAAACGTATATATAAGATCGGAGAAGTGCACGCACGCGAGTGTAGATTAGCACATACATTCACATTCGATTCGATTCTCAAGCGTGCGTACGTGTGTGCGCGTGTGTGTATGTGTATCCTTCGTGTTAGCTATACAGATATATAACTTTGTACGTGAGTGCTTGCAACGTTATGTACGTTATATAGATCCATCGCTCGATGAAACAGAGCGAGAGATATATCGTTAATCGAGTCGAATTGCTTTTACCGAACGCCTCGAGAGTTGGATAACCCGAGTATATATACGAAGAGAGAAAGAAATATTGCAGGCGCGCGAGGCAATATCGGCATCTACTATACGTTTCTATCATGTCATATGTACATAGCTCGCTGCACAGTGACTTTTTCATATGCGTAATATTATACACGATACGCGACAGATCGTTCATCTTCTTCTTTCTTTTTTACTTCAATTAAAGAGACGAGGAAACGCGGCGCGGAAAATTGTACCGATCGATCGATCGAACCCGAACCGATCCTGAGTCTACGTTTAAATATTACACCGTATCCTTCGAGCACGTCGAGGACGAGGACTTGTCGTCTATATCGTTTGTGGCTGCCAAAGAAAAGTTGGTCGATGACGAGTAAAATAAACATGATATGTCAAAGCTCCATAAACGCATGACTGCGCAAGTATTACGCGAGTATCCTGCATGTATGTCACATGCGCTATTTACACAAAAACAAGAAATCAACTGTTTTGCTCGTGTCATTCGAAGGGAGTCGTCCGCGATATCCTATTACGCGTGCCTTAATTTCACGATACACAATATTTTGTGCTCCGTAACTCGAATCATAAGATTGCGGTAGCTCTACTAAAATCCCGTATAAGTAACACAAGTATTTTTAGTTGTCCTTTTCCCTTTACATGAATATACCACGCTCTTATATAAAATAAAACCACTTTTAATTTTTTCATTTTTTTGAAGCTTCATAAATAAACAAATTCGAAATTTGCATTCAACATCTTAAGCGAACAAACTGTATGTACAGTAGTACACGCGATAAAAGCTGTGTGCTAACGAAATTATAATATGCATAAATAGGGGCTCCGAAAAAAAAATGTTTTAAATCTAAAAACCTGTTGCTCGTGTGAATCAAGCGTGGGTTTCGAGATATAAGGAATAAAAAAAGAGAAAAAAAAACAGAGTCGACTCGAAATCAGCTCTTTTGTCTGTTGACTTCTGTCTGCTTTATCGAGATCGATTAAGATGCAGAGGCTATTAGCCGTGCTTCTTATTAGTCGCATATTTGTTATAATACACGGTACAAGCTGGATTAAATTGTCATTTAGCAAAGAATTCATAATAGGTATGACAAACAAAAAAAACGTGCAAAAATGATCTCTCTTTTTGTTGGAGCTATATTTTATGTGACAAAGACTTGGTATATATATAATCGACAGGCCTCTAGAGACGAGACATAGAGCAGAACTTTGAGGCTTTTTTTTTGCCGAATTTTCGCCCGAATGATATATTACGAGTGCCGCCGGCCTACGTGTCCTATGGCACACCGACTCTCATGTTGTTTGTCGAAAACGATTGCAAAAATCATAATATTCAAGAGATACGAGTATGGCAAAATATCTTATCGGCATATATTATAACGAGTCAAAAACAAAGAAGACGGAGTGCGAGCGAGACGGCTCTGCACCGAATATACAGCGATATGAAGAGCCGATAAAAATATTCGCGAGCGTTAAAGTGAGACGGAACGAAAACATCGGGTGCACGGCGCACAGAGAGCGGCGCAGGCTTCCAGCCGTCATACAGCTATATGCATTTTCACCTATGCACATGTAAATGTATAGTCCCAGAGGTCTTTCGCTCTTGCTCTAGCGTATTGCAACGATCATATTATAATTATGTATGTGTAATAAAATTAATATCTTCGTGCACGAAATTTTGTAGAGTCTCGAGAGCAAGAAAAAAAAACCATGACGCAGTTATCGCGATTTTTCGACACTCGCCCGAACAAAACTCTAATATTGGCGAAGCTCGATGACCCGTTGCGTCTTTCTTTCTATATCTTAACCAATACCATCTTACAGCAGCAGCAGTTCTAATATACGTACAGGCACACACACTTGGACTGCTGGCACATTCACGAAATATATATAGGTATATAATATTAACATTTAACTATCCCTCCCGCTGCTGCTGGCTGGCTATACGGAGCTGCTATTGCGCAACCAAAACACTCGCTCGTGCGCACGAACACAAAGAGATATAGGCATACTGTACCAGACTCCCCCTCTGCAGGCTGCCAGCTCTCGCAGCACATACATGTATAGCGCGTATGAAGAATAGAGAGATGCAACCAACGCACAGCGCAAGGGTGTAAACAAAGAGAGAGAGAAAGAGAGAAAAGTATACATTTAAAGGGCCCCCGTTTACGCACCTCCATAAATAAGCGACGTGGACAAAAAGTGTCACTACGTCGAGTGGGTGCTGTCGGATGCCTCCTTCTCTGCGTCGTCCTCGTCTTCTGGACTTGTATACAATCTCTGCGTGTCGCACACAGCTGCACACACCGTTGTCTATTTGGATGCGTCTGCTGCTGCTGCTGCTGCTGCTGCTGTTATTGTTGTTGTTGTTGTCGTTCGTCGTCGTCGTCGCATGTAATTTACGTGCACAGGCCAATATTATGATACGGAGCAGCTGATCATCGGCTCGCTCGCATCTGACACAATTTGGCACGCGCGGACGATTACGATAATATTATCACAATATTATAATAATAGAGAGACACACAAGCACACGCGAACGAGGCCAGAGCCTGGAGCTTTGTTTTAGGCTGGCGAATATATGCGATTACGCGCCAGTAAATTCTGCCGAGTCTCTGCCACTTATAGCACGAGAAACAGGAAGAGTAGGACGTTGTCGTCGTCGTCGTCGTTGTTGCTGCTGCTGCTGTTGCACTTTCTTCTCAGTCTCGGTAGCTGAACTTGCTTTTTTCCAGTACGAGGGCATGCTCTGAGCATCTTCCTCTCGCGACGCACAGAGAGACGCACCGCGCGGCCAGCTGATTCAGTACAAAGAACGAAATTTACACCATTGTGTCGATGCAGGACAAAAAACAAAGACGACTCCGTTTGTTTTGGTTTTTATTTTTTTTGGTGGCGCGCTGATCTAATGCGTTGACAGGCCGACGCGATTCGTGCACCGATATGCAGCTACAGAATTCGAGCGATATCGTGCATCCTTTGTTTCGACTGTTATTATTACGGTGCGTGAGGTTCGCTTTTTGAATTATGCATCGACGAACGCGCACAACACACACTCACGAATCACAACACTCGTGGTATAGCTGCGCTCGAAATTCATCCGAGAACATCCCTGGCGTGGTACGACAGATAAGGATGACGATGATGTAGCAAAGGGAGATTACGCACTGCTAGTCCTCGAGCCGAGTATCAACAAACGAAAGGGCAAAACGATAGGAAAGAAAAATAAAATAAACGCACCCGAAACAGTTTGTTTTTTATTTTGCTATGTTACGAGAGCGGCGTCGCAACAGCGGTTGGAAATTTTCGAATGGATTTTCTCGCGCAATTGTAGAGTTTTTTTACATACATGTATGCTGCTTATACATGTATGGTATATATTTCATATATAGACACACTGGTTGTATAGATATATAATAGAAAGGTTAACGTCGCGCATTGGACGGCCCGAACAACACTGGCTCACCGTGCTGCGAGAGACTGTGCGCGAACTTGCGCGATTGCGATGCAGAGCAATGCTGCTGCTGCTGCGCGTGTGATCGGTGTCTTTGTGTGCATATGCACGGCTGTATGTGTGTGTGTGCGGGATGTGGTATATGTATATATGTGCTCGGTAAAGTCGCGACGGTCGATTGGTGTGTACATCCAACGCAGCGACTATAGCAGGCAGGCACTCGGCAGCGGAGAGTTGCAAGTGTATCTGCTAAACGAATACTCGCGAGTGTGTGCGTGTGTGTGTGTGTGTGCGGTAGGTGGTATAGTGGGAGGTTGCTGACTGCCAAGTGCGATCTGCGCGTTGCGTTGAAAACGCTCGTGCCGAGGAGCGAACGAGCCAATCCTCGTGCGGAGTCGAGCGGTTGGACGGCCAATCCAACGCTCGTATATGCGGGCCTCGAGTCGCGCGCCGCTTACGAGCTCAAAGAAGAAAACGATTTATCTCCACTATTGCCTCTATCATTTCTTATCCTTATTCTTTTTTACGGTAGCAATGACTTCGACGACGACGTAATTTTTGAAAAAAGAGACGGTATGAAAAAATGTTGAGTCTAGGTCGAATCGTCGAGAAAAATTGGAGCGAATCCTACTTACCAGTTAAGAAGAGTCCGCGTTTCATCCGGTGTCCAAAGTGGAATCTCGAGCATAAAATTTGACCATGGCCCATCGCTTATCGCTTATAGGAAAAAAAATAAGCGAAGAGCAGCGGGAGCTTGATTGATTGATTGATTAGTTTTTTATTTGGGACCGAGGGGTACAACCCCATTTGGCCCCGGTGCAATGAAAATACAGTGGTATGAATTACATTATACCTAATTTGAACAATAAATAGCAAATAGTAAGAAAAGAAAACAATTGAAGTAAAACAACTTGAAATATAACTTGAAAATATAAAATATATAAAACATATGCTCGCTGAGAAACAAAGGAATCGCGACGCGCATACGTAGTCGTAGTTGTTGCTTTTGACATTTTGGTGGCTTAGTCGAGGATAAAATGAAATCGGTGACCAGCAGAAATTTCGAGCTTTTATGCGCGAGCTTTCGAGAGTATTCGCACAGTAAATTCGAACGTTTTTGTTCTTTGATGTCAGCTTGAGAGCGTAACGGACTACGCGACGATTAAGTTTATATCATAAGACGATTATTAGTTTATAACATCATATGACGATTAAGTTTATAAGATGTACCGCTCCTATAATTTTAATACCGACGAGATGAGCTGCTTGATTATTTCATTCACGACGATTTAGTTGTGCATAAAGTGGAAATGAAATGCCCAAAACTTACCATATTTAGTTGACACAAGACAATTTATTTGAAGCTCCGCAGAAAATTATTCAACTGTACTGAACATTCATTAATATACCGTCAAACACAGAAAAAGCTGCGTTATATGCATTGGATAAATCCATAGACTCGTAGATATAGAGCAGAAGAGATGGCCCGCGTACAATGGTGCATGCTATGGTATACTGTTAAATAGACGTATGCATAGTCACGATTTTTCATCGTCGCGACCTCGTTTTTCGGCGATTCTATAAAAGCCCGAAACGGCGGCAGCGTGTCTTCGCAAATCGCGAGCGTGCATCTCTCTAGCCTCGATTTTCCTTTCAATACGAACATTATCAGAGAGGGATTTGCACATATACTACGTCGGCTAATATGGCACACGGTCTATGGGTGTATGCGAGCGCGCGCACACACACACACACACACACACAAGCGCGCGCAGCTTGAAGCCGTTAACTCGTTTCATCCAAGATAAAGAGCCGGAAGTTTTCTCTATATACCCCCTGTATGCATATAAGTATAGGCGCTCGAAAATTGGGTGAAAAAATTTCCGGCGCGCTCTATGCGATGCCTTCGCGCGCGCTCAGAGATATTTTCTTGAAACACATCGAGGATCTATGATTAGCTAAAGATTTACTTTATCTTTGATAAATAGACAATGATGACGTTCGAATGATCTCTGCGTGCAGTCGGATATGTTCACATTATATATATTAGCGCGGAATCACGTAACAGCTGCAAGCTCGAAGAATTCGAAAGAAAGTGCAACAATGAGCGGTAATTGGGCTTTCTCGTCTTTCTTTCGAACTCCGCTTAAATTTCAGACGGATCGTATAAGTCTGCGCGCGCACTCCCAGATTTCCATCTTCTTCCGCGCGTCATCGTGCAAAAAAAGCCACGAGGAGACAGATACCGAATTAATGCTGACGACTCGTGACGATTTACAGGTAAAAGTACATTCATTCGACGCCATTTGAAACTCGCCGAGTATATCTTTTTTCAGACGCTGAGCTTTCATTTTGTATAAAAATATGTATACTAAAATATACAATGAATAATTTTTCCAGATATGTGATATAATGAACATAGATTAGTGCAACTAGAACCAATTGTATGCGAATAATACATTAAAAATTGCAATTTTATGTTATAATATATTTATTTTGAAAATAAATATACTACAAGTTAAATATAAATGTATATCATTACAGTACACTGTGGTGATGCATCTCTAAAATTTGTTTGATGCAAACTCATGCTTTTTTTGCTTTTAATTAAAACTCTGCTGAGACAATATTCATTATTTACAAATTATTTACGGTGGATTATCATTATATAGCATCATTTCATTCACATAGCATTTTCGCAACAAGTGGAAAATGTCACTTAAATTGGTATGTATTGTTATGATCGAAATTACATTTCGGTATTACATATTGTACAACTAAAATTGACTGAACAAGTATATATCGCGAAACGCGAGCTCGTGCACGCTATGTGATGAGCAAATCGTCAAAAGTAAGGAAGAAGAAAGTAATATTGTACAGACAAAATTTTTAAAAACTCACATGATTATTTTACTGCTTGGGCATGAACAATACAATTATACACATCAATTCAGTAATAAAGCCCGTAAGTAACTATTTACCATTCAGAAGTTAAATTTAAACATAGTTTTTTTACATGTAAAACAATTCTATGTAAGCAATGAGGAAATATGTATAAGTAAAAAAGGGTGAGCGTTTGAAAAATAATATTTTTTTATACAACGTACGTTACTACTTATTTAAAAATTTATTTCATTTATTCTCAGCATTCACCCACATTTATTGATTAATTAAATGCAGTGATTTATCAATGTTTAAAAATTTAAACCAGGCCATAAACTTATTTTGCTTTTGGAATGCACATATTTTTACAATGATTTTTTAATTTTTTGTCTTCAAAAAATAAATTTTTAAAATCAGATTGTCCAATTGGAAAACTAAACATGCTCGGAGCATAAAAATAATAATTTTCATAAAATATTTGCATCAGATATTTAAGCTCACTTAAATAATAATAATAAATCATATTCAACGTTATAAATCGAAACCTCAAATTCAAAAATTGTTTCATTTGAATATTTCAAATTCATCAAGTAAAAAAGTTGTTACTGCACATTTAAACTCTAAAGTTGCAATCTGAATCTCAAGCATGCTTTAGAAAATATTCAAAAGGCATGTCGTCAATATTTATTTACAATATCAACTGTCTGCACCGCTCATTACGTTCAAAGATGCAACTATAACATCGTAAATTGAATTTTTTTTATTGTGGTTAGTTTACTCAGAACTATTTAACACAAAGGCAGTCAAATTGTTGTCGAATTCAAGTTGAATCTTTGACTCGGTAATAAAAAAACATTTCACCATTTAAATGTGAAACTCCAACGGAATATATACTACACTATATATGATTTTTTCGAATTTTCTCTTAATATAAAACAAACAAAATAAAGAATAGAAATTAGCTGAATGTTATGCACATTTATACAACTTGATATAATTCGCTGTCTGCCAAAAATGAAAAATACTAAAAAGACACCTTAAAAACATATGGCGGATTCGCTAATCGAGGACTTTTTATCCAACTTTACAAGGGCAAAATTTGGTACATGTAACTCGATAAGAAAACGCACGCCTTTAATGCAACCTCATGTATGATAATATAAATATATGTGAGTGTTCAACACACCGCGTGCCACCTTCCTCTTATAAACTTCTTAAATTCCAATTATAATAATCATGTTTAAATGATCTTCAATCGACCATTCTCACGTGCACAGTTTCTTAACTTGTCCTTTTAAATTGCATAGTTTTTCTATTAACATACTCTATTATGGCGCCATTTCGACTTGAATCTACTTGCACAAAGATCACATATTCATCTATATTATTATTAATTCGTTCTTTTATTTATAATTATATTATTTCGTTACAAAAATCCGTTTTGATTTTTAAAAATGCTACCTTTATTTAAAAGAATTAAATTATAAAGCAAATTATAGGATGATGTTCGTTAATGATAATTTCACGTATCGTAAAAAAGCTAAGGAAACAAGTATTGAGTAACTGGTTTGTTTTTAATAAAATAAAATATATTTAAGATAGTATTGTTTGAATACTAGTCTTGCACTTTATATATTCACATGTATTTATTATTATATACATGAAAATGAATATATGAAAGTATGAAATATAAGTTTTTTAAGGTAGCTAGTTGCTAGCTTTTATCTAGTTTCACTTGGCATATTTGTGTTGATATTTTCATTTAGAGATAAAGATAATTAGCAAATCAGATGAAACAAAGTAGTTATACCTATAAACAGTAGCGAACGTGGTTTTATTCAAATGCTTTCAATTTGCCTTGCAGACAATATTTCTCTTTTCTCACACCTGTATAAGTATCTAAAGTATACATTTAATTTTTAATATGCAATATTTTTAATGTATATACGTGTATGATCCCTACATTATGGTAATTTTATGTTGTGTTACAAGCCTTAATTTTAGCTTATACGCTATATATAGTATTTATAAATTACCAACGTCCTTTTTTAATTAAACGTGTTACTTTATATTTTGAGAATCTTGAGATAATCGATATTTCAATATAACTATTACTTTAGTGAGAGTACAATACGGTTTTGCATAGAGGATTTTACGGTGGCAACGGATATGGTTGGTCTCAAGTCGTATTCGGAAGCGTATTGACAATCAACATTGTCGGCAATATTCACAATCGGATTCAATATTGTAAAATTGTTTCACATGGTGACGTTCAACTGTATTGCTTTGTTATCTACTGTACATGACTGCTGCTGCTGCTGTCTTTGAGCTTCTTGCTGTTGCTGCTGCTGTTGTTGTTGTTGTTGTTGCTGCTGTTGTTGTTGGGCTTGTCTTTGAGCTTCTTGCTGCTGAGCTTGTTGATGCTGCCTTTGAGCTTCTTGTTGCTGTTGTTGGGCTTGCTGTTGCTGAACTCGTTGCTGTTGCGCTGCGTGTTGAATAGCATGCAAAGCTATAGCTTTGGTGTCTATGCCTTGCTGCTGGATAGCTAGCTGAATAGTTTTGGTCTCGCCTGGTTGCTGAATGGCTTGCAACGCAATTGGTTTACCATCGACGTGGCTTTGTATGGCTTGTAACGTTATCACTTTTGCTTCTATTTGTTGATTTTGGACTTGTTGGATTGCCTGCAATGCAATTGCTTTAGTGTCTGGAGAAACTTGCGAACCATCAATGGTGATAACTGTGCCAACACCTTGACTGGCTGCTTGTGCTGCTGCCTGTGCTGCTTGGCGTTGTTGTTGCCGTACAATACTGGGTGGTGGATCCATGTGTTGGCGCTGATGCAGAAGCAAATGATTCTTCTGGAAGAAAGCTTTGCCGCATTTGTCGCACACATGAGACCTTATGTGGCAGCTGCCGTCAGTGTGGCGACGTTGATGCTGCGACAAACCGTGCTTTTGCGCAAAACCTCGTCCACAGTCTGGACAGAGGTGGGGCTTTGGCTTAGGGCCGGAACCAACTGGCGGCGATGTTTGCGTAGCCCCGTGCATGTGGCTCACGCTGCTTCCAAGAGGACCATTCAACTGCAAGTTTAGAAAATTAATTCAAAATTAACGTAGCAAGATTACTGTTAGATATGATTGATCCAGAACGAATACCGGCGCGTAGTTTTATTTGCAAGTACGTATTTTCATGAAAGAAAAAGTAATCTATTCAAATTTTGTCATTTATGAGAAAAAAAACGTACATAAGTAATAATACATCTAATCTAACTGATGTAAATCATCATTCAATAAAATCAAATAAAAAATCATTTGATTAATTCTTTGAATACCTACATGAAATATGTCTTGCACTTATACACTAGGATTGGCATCTCAGAGGACTGATATTTACCTGATGAGAACTAGCATTAGCAGTTAAAAAATGGCCAGTGGTCTGTTGAAAGGATGCTGCAAGTCCACAAAGATCAGTGACAAGAGTTCTATCAGCAGAGTGAAGTCGCAGATGTAAAGTTTGAGCTTCCTTGTTATTGAATTCCAAACCACACTCCCTGTTAATAAACAAAGCATGCATGTAGATGATCAGTCAAATTCTCTAATGTTTATCACAAATGAGTAATTACTTCAATGTTTTACTAACCGACAGGTGAACGGTTTAGTATCCGATTCCGGATTACTACTGTTATGTATCTTTGAATGGGCTATCAGGTCTGATTTCCTTCCAAAAGCTTCACCGCATACAGTGCATGCAAATGGTGTCTCACCAGTATGAAGTCGCATGTGGGCCAACAAGGTACGTTTCTGCAAAAATTCTTTTCCACAGACTGTGCAAGAATGCGGTATTCTTCCATGCAACCTTCCATGATTCACTAATTCGAATTTCCTCTGAAAACTCATACCACAGTCTGGGCAAACAAATGGATGCAGGCTACCGTGGAAGCGCGAATGCATGGTTAAATGATCCTTTTGAGCAAAAGATTCGCCACACTCTTCACAGACGTAAGGTCTCTCTCCAGTATGAAATTTGTTGTGTGTTACCAGATGGCGTTTTAAAGGAAAAGATTTGCCACACTCTGGACAGACGAAAGGTCGGTCACGAGTGTGTACCCTTGAATGCGTTACTAGATGATGTTTCAAAGTGAATGATTTTTTACATTCTCTACATTGGAAGGGACGTTCCGCACTATGGAGTAGTAAGTGAGTATGGAGACAATGTTTATGTGCAAAACTTTTACCACAGTGTACACAAATATGAGGTCTTTCTCCAGTATGCACTCTTGCATGAGTCGTCAGATGATGTTTGAGCAGAAATGATTTTCCACACTCTGGACATGTGTAAGGCCTTTCCTTTGGAACTCTTGTTTGTTCTTGTTGTATTTGTTGCTTGATGTTATGCTTGGTATCTATTTGGGCTGTATTTACATGGGTGAGTACATGGCTAAAGTGAGGACTGTCCGCTTGACTGCTAACAACTTGAGTAGAGGCAGCTGCAGCCCTCTTCATCAGGATCTCGTTGCATTCTTCAGCAGTCAATTGCAGTGGGCCAATCGGAGTCATAAAGTGCTTGCTCATTGCTCCATGCTTGTCTGTTGCAAAAACCAAAGTATTAGGAAATATAGAAGTGGTATGATGTGCATCACAATTACAACCACTTTTGTCACACGTATGAGTCAGAGTAAAGACATCATGGTGCGCAGCAGCAGCAGCGGCTGCAGCAGTGTTCTTTTTAGATCTGACATGAGACACGTGACCGGACTGATTGTGGCTGGCTGTGCTGGTGTGCACATGATGCCCAGCAGTGGTTGCCGGGGTTGGCTGTAAGCCATCAGCGCTCATAGCAAACATGGTTCGTCTATGGCCTGAACTATTATGTATCTTACTAGACTTGACGTCAATATGAATTTTTGGACTGACTGCTTGGTCCTGATTATTATTAACTTGTGTATAACTTATAGTACCTGCTGAGATCTGGTCGCTTTGACTCGTCGGTTCTTGCCTGTTGTCATTGGCATTGTGCCCGCTAAATGACCATGTGGCATAGCCAAACCCGGTGCCAGAATTGCCGGGCGTGGTGCACATGTTCGTCAAAGTGGTGATGGAGTCGGCCTGACTACCGGTCGTGGTGACAGTGGCTTCTTCACCGCTGTCCGTAGTCAACGCATCTTCAGGGCCAACCACCTGCTCCACTATGACGAACTGGTCAGCGGGAAAAATCTTGAGTGGCTCCAGAGCAGAGCAGTTTTCGTCACGCTCCAGTTTCTCGAATAGAGCAGCAGCGGCCGGCTGTTACGGCGAGAGTCATATTCCGACTCGTGAATATCTCCAGTCGCTGTGGCACTTTTGGCGGGCGCACGCTACTCTGCGTAGCGAGATTATTAGCCGAGACGGTATAATATGTGACTACACCGCCAGAGAAAGAGAAGTTACACGTTGAGTTTAGGAGTGTGTGACTATATAAAGTCGCGCTACGCCCCGAGCCGCGCTGTCCGCCGCTCGAGGTCCGAAAAATTTGCCTGCACAAAAAGAGCGAAAAGAACGAAAGAGCAAGGTAGAGAGGAAACTTGATAAATTCGCAATAAAGCGGCAGAGGCGGCGTTCCGATCGCTTTCTAACCTATATTATACACGCACACACGTATACGCCATGACTACACCGACACACCACCTTTTATCGCACTTTGCAAACTCCGTTTTAGCGAGCTTGGCCGATCATTCCACTATTCTGTATGTGAGCGTGGGTCTTTACCATGTACGTGTACGTGGCAATGGCTGTGTGTGTGCCTGCGCCGAAACAGCGACTCACCAACACAAGGCGAGGCGCGCACCTCTCCGTATATAATACGCGCTGTGGTGTTTCAACACACGGCAACGCGCGCACTGATAATGGCTTGATACCAGCCACACACGCATACACACACACACACACAAAACAAATAGATCGGAGTAGCGCCTCACGCACACAAAACGGACGACATACGTGTTTCCGTGTGAGTGCTTAATGGCATTAAGATATAGGTGTGTATCGCATACGTATATGTATGAGTGAGGCACTTGGCGCGCGCTCTGCGTGATTAGGATCAGGCGGCTATATAATACGCACACGAAGCGCGGCTCATGCAAGGCTCGCCCAATCGCTGCTATGCGTCTCTACCGTCCATGTATTGAATTCGCACACACGCTCTCACACATGCACACACGGACACACACAGAGAGAGACACGCAAACTCGAGGCCGGAGAGTGCGAGCTAAAGCGAGACAGAGAGAGACGAGAAGGTAGAGATTACGAGAGCGAAAGTGAAAACACACTGCGCGAATATAATACGCGGACTCCTTTTAACCTTTTGCGAAATTTTTACATGTGTACGTTCTCGATTAATAAAATTAATACACGTACGTAATCTGTTACACCGTTCGTATACGTATATCGACCACACTGCACACTGCGAGTTTACTTGTTGTGTATATAACACATATATACTCCTTGCGCGATACAGTCAGTCGTTTCTCTATTAAACTTCGCACTGTTCCCGGTCAATTGCTCGTGCGCTCATATACATGCACACTGCTGCATGCTACGCGAACTTGTGAAATATTGCACGCGCGTACCACTCGTGTACTATGGATATTTATCGAAGAACCGCACGCACACCGTGTTTTTTTCCCTCTTGTATACAACAATGTCCTCTCTCTTAGAAGCGTAATTGTCAGTAATCTGTAAAATCGCTTTACGTCGTCTTGTTTGTTTTTGGTTTTGTTTGTTTTTGCAGTTGCTGTTGCGTCAGGCGCTTATAAAAAACGCTAATATGTCGCGCCGATGCCACTCGCGGTTTTTCGCTCTCCTGCAGGCCCGTGTATTATACAGTCGGGCACAGGCAGTCGCGCAAAGTCCTATCAATCGGTCGCGGCTGTGGCGGCGGTGCAGGCGGCAGCGGCAGCGGCGGCGGCGGCGCGGCGACGACGACGGTACACACACTGCACAAACACACACAGACACACTCACACAGTCATGCACACAGAGTCGTGCAAAGAACGGCGCGCAATATGTTGTGTGCTATACCTCTTGCCGGGAATCGCGCGCGCGGCAGCAGCAACGATGCGCACGCGAGCGGGGAAGGGGAATGCACGAATATCCGCCAATGATTCTCGGCTGAAGCAGAGCTGCTGGCTGGTGCGCTTCTTTTTAGCGAAAATTTCGCTTCGTTGTTTCGCCGATATCAGCGGTAGCGGCAGCAGTGCGCAGTACTGGCGTATAATGCAGACCCGCGTTATGACTGAACACTGGCGTCGTCGGCGTTGGCGGTCTGCTGCTGCTGCTGCTGCAACTCTTCTGTCTCTTTCTTCAACAATATAATAAAATGCAAGCGTCGCTTGCAATTGCAGTTGCGCTTATCGCAACTCCTTCTCTGTCTCTATCTTTCTGGTAAAATGTCTGTCACACTCAACACACACTGTGCAGTGTCACTGCTTCTGGGGCCCGGTTGCCGGTTTTTCATCGGCCACTTCCGCTGCAAGACAACGCGCCGGCGCTGCACAATTTTTCGAGCACCAGGTGCCCGTCGTCGTAAACAACGTAAACAAGAGCAGCAGCTATAGCTCGCTCTCTCTCTGTCTATCTTGTGTGCAGCCGTTCATTTATATACGATTGTACGTGTATATTGCGGTTGGCTGCCATAAGCCGCTGACTATTATAAAATAACGCAGCAGCACGGAGCAGACTCTGCACGGAGGAGGCGTTGGCGTGATGATGCGCGACACCGCTCGCTTATATATATACACAGATATATCTATATACATACACCTTTTTTCTGCTCTCCTCTCTAGGCACGCTCCTCTCTTTGTCTCCTTTGTGTGTGTGTATTAAAACTCCGAGTCCTGCTTGCATCGAACGAGTCCCCGAAGAGCGTGGAGATCCAGTGAGAAAGAAGGTCCCCAAAAAAAAACAGAGAGAAAGATACGAGTTAAAAGACAGTCAACAAAATACGGATCAATATGATTTTTAAATAAAAAAAAAAAAAGGCGCAGCAGTACAGTCCTTTATTAATAATCGGAGCAGACTATAAAAGAGAGAAAGAGAGAGCGAGGCAGAAACCTTGCGCGGCCGTATAAGCGCGCGCGGGTGGCTGGCTGACTGCTCGCCGTGCACCAGGAGTCGGCGGTGCAGCAGCAGCAGTAGCAGCGGCACGACGGCCTCGACACCGACAACGGTCAGCAGCGGCGACGGGCAAGCATCTTAAAGCATGAACAGCAGCAGCAGCAGCAGCAAATCGCGTGCTCGCACGCTGCCAACACTGTTGTTTTTGCTCATTTAATTGTGTGTGGGTGTGTATGTTGTTCGTATCTGTTATGGAGAAAAAAGTACTGTGCTGTGTACGCCGGAGTCGGGCGTTTATGCGTATAAGGGTTGATGTATGTACAATGTTATCCACTAAATGCACGCACGCTGACGCACGTCTCGTGGTGGCGGCGGCTGCTGCTGCTGCTACTGTTCTAGACGTAGTTGTAGTATCTCACTGCGCGTACGTATACAACAACACACTCTCGCGAGGATGCGATTGCATGTGCAGGTATACACACGGTAGAGATGCGTGCGTATATATACGGTGGTCCGTCCGCTGGCTGACTGGCACAGACACACGCACACACGAATTTACGTATACGTCTTATAACAACAACACAAGCTCGCACAACCGCGGCGAATACGTAGTGTACCGTGCATGCATGTATATGTTGTATGTATTCTCGCCGCCTCTCGAGTGTGTGGAGTATCTATGTTGTATATATGCATATACGTATATACGAGCGAGCGCTTGCGGCTCAAGAAAAGATGGTGTGTTGCGTCCGTGTGTAGTGCGTTTATGAAGCGGAGCTTGTATAGTGCCTATCACAGGACGGGTGCTCGGGTGTTGCTGCACACTCACCATCAAAGCGATCCGCTGCTGCTGTGCACGACGACGCGATCACGCACGTATACGCTCGCACTTACAAACTCTCCTGGTCGCGCCGCTTTTATATATATGTATATATACATCAATCTATATGTATGCGTATATGTACCATGTATATGTATTACCTGCCTATATAAGTAGACGCAGTCGGCCGAGCGCACACACGGCTGCTCCTCTGTCTGTCGTCGTCGTCGTCGTCGTCGTCGTCGCGACTCCGTATATCCCTATGCACATATAGGTGTGCGTATATACCTATATATGCACGACGAGTGTGTGCGAAGCTCTCCGTGCTCTCTTGGCCGCTCTCGTCGTCGCTGCGGATAGTATAGCTATATCGTAGGGTAGGCGCGCGCGGTGCATATGTATATGGCCGTATACATACACACAACTGAGAGAGAGCGCACGTACGTACGACTCGGTACGCCTCTGGCAGTGGCCGCCCGAGAGCTTGAGACTGTGTGTTTTGCGCGCGTGTATATCTCTCTTGCCTGCGAGGCACACACGCACTAACTGTGTGTGCACACTAGAGGCTGCAACACACAGTCGTCGTCGTAGTCGGCGAATATACGCACGCACACACTTGCCAATTCTCGGGGCGTACGGAGAAGGAAACTTTGCGCGCGCCGCGGCGGCCCCGCTTGTGTGTATATATCGGTGCAGCAGCGCAGCAGCCCCGCACACAAGCCTTTTGCCCAAGCCTGTGTGGATGTACGTATATATGCACACGCACGTAACAAGCGTCAGAAGCAGCAACGCAGAGGGAGGAGAGACTGAGAGAGAGAGACAGAGATGTGGAAGCCAAATGCCGTACGCACACACGCAGCGAGAGACTCGCTAATACACACGCAGCGCAGATATATGCCGAGTCGAGCCCTGCATATGCGCAAACTTCCAACACACGCAAAACTTTTCTTCGTGTGTATGCGCGGCGCGTCTCGACAACGGTGGTGGCGGTGGCGGCTCTATACACAGCCAACTCGGTGGCTAAGTGCCCCTATGTGTGTACACAGCAGTGCTTTAAGCTGCAGCTATGACGCACACCGACGTACACACACACCAACGATATGGGCCGCGACCAATGGCGGCCCGATATTTTGCCCGTCTACATCTCCTCTCTCTGTCCGACGCCCAGTGTTTGCCAATATCGGAGCGTTGCAAACTGCATATCGTGCGCTGCGCGCGCGCCCACTGCATCGGTGTGCGTCCGTCGGTGTGCCAATGTGTGCGCGCGTTCGGCTCTTCGGCATTGTCTGGAGCACGACTATTGGCCAGCCCGGACGCTTCTTTATCTCGCTGTCTCTCTCTCTCTCTCTTTCTCGGTCCTCCTCGCTCCTCTCAGCCGCGCGCATCGTCGTCGGGACCGTCCACGTCGAGCGCATACACACACACATAACATTTATTGCATGAATATGGAGAGACGATGCAAAAAGAGACGAGAAGATCGCGAATTCGAGCTAAAAGGTGGCGGCAGCGTGCACGAGCTCCAAACATTGCTGATCCGCTGAGCGGCATGCGCGCCGAGTCGACGACTCCGAAATTCGCTCGCTCGCTACGCGCTGCTGTGAATTTCCTTCGAAATGCGCGCGCCAAGGCGCCTTTTGGTTTTTTTCCGCTCGCGCGAGCCTTATATAGATATACTTGGCACGTGTAGCCATGTAAAAAATTTACCCACACCGCAACATGCCGTACAGTCCATATATAAATTGGAACGACTATTCGGCCTCTGCCTAATAGAAAATTCAATTTTTAGCCGGTCGATGATGGACTACTTACGGATTATTCTCAATTGTTCTTGTAACACGCGAAAACCCCGGCACGAATAGAACCTATATTGTATGTACTTTGCGAAGCCTATACATATATAGGTATATATACTTACGTGCCGGCGTCTCGTGCTGTATGCCCACGAGCGGGTCGCTAAATTTTTATTCACCGAATGTCGCCCGACCGCCATTTTATTTTATGCTAAACTATATAAAGGCAACACTCTGCATATTAACGATATGACCGTGCGTACACGTATAGGTATATAATATACATTAGCACATGTATGCGGGCCTACTATGTAATGCGTACACGTACACATGCACTCGCTCTGTACATGTATAATGCATTTATTGTACGCATACTTATATGCCTATAGATATACACATACGTACGTATGAAGGTACGGGCCTTGATAAAACAAAATATATATGTATGCGTTACATGCACGGCACGAGTTCGCCGGCGAAAGACGATTTTGACGATTCTTAAAGGTATGTTATTTGCCTTGGCAGAAGTAAGTACGATGACTTGCAGGACTCGGAAAAAATTTACTGACTGATCGAATGTGACAGCTGTTTTCAACAACAAAATCCGGTCAAAACCGATTTTTCGGCATAAGAATTTTACAAAGTTTTAGGTTCCTTTTATTAAAGTATTAAAATAAAACAAGTACTTTATAATTGTAGAAAAATTTTATTGTAGCTGTTTCAAACAACTCGAATTTATTTTTTGTTTCATATAAATATAAATATTGATTACATCAATAATCCTTTAAAGCTATAATATTTCATTAACAAAAGTTCTGTTTTGACCAACGGGGAGAAATTCGAAAAATATATATTAAACAGATTTTCAAAAATATTAAGCCATGTTTCAATAGTGCAACACTGCTCTCAAACTGAAATTAAATAATAATAATCATGATTACATCTCAAATTCAAAATAAGTAATTATTATAAATAGGAATTATTAAAATGAGAATTACCAGTTTCCTGAATGAAGAAGTTCAAATCCTTCATTGATTTGGTCAAAGGGCATAACATGAGTAATGAATTCATCTAGTATTAGTTTTTTATTCAAGTACTGATCAACAAGAAGGGGGACACTATCTTTTGACTTCCATCCTCCAAAAGCTGTTCCTTTCCAAGTTCTTCCAGTAACCAATTGAAATGGACGAGTACTAATTTCCTGTCCTGCAGCAGCCACACCTACAATAGTTGATACTCCCCAGCCTTTATGGCAGGACTCTAGAGCTGCTCTCTAGAAAGTACATTTCCTATTAGAAATTGAAAAAGTTCCACCAAAGTTGGTAACATAAATATTTTCTAACATACCATTGTATGAACATTGCCAACACATTCAAAAGTATAATCTAAACCTCCATCGGTCATCTCAATCAATACATCTTGAATTGGTTTATCATAATCCTTTGGATTAATGAATTCAGTACAGCCAAATTCTTTTGCTGGATAAAAAATTATTAGTTAAAACCAATAAAAAAAAATAATGATACAAAAATAGATCAACATGCATTGTTGATTTTGATACCTTTCTTAGCCTTGTCTTGATTAAGATCAATTCCAATAATGCGAGAAGCTCCAGCAACTTTACAACCATAAGCAACAGCTAATCCAACTGCTCCTAATCCCCATATAGCACAAGTACTGCCAGGCTCTACTTTTGCTGTATTTAATGCAGCACCATATCCTGTTGATACACCACAACCCAATAAACATACTTTATCTAATGGAGCTGATGGATCAATCTGTAAAAAATGTTTGATCGTTTTTAATCGTTTAATGGCATATGTTTGATCATTTTTTTAATAACAAACCTTAGCCAATGATATATCAGCCACTACTGTATATTCAGCAAATGTTGAGCAGCCCATAAAATGATAAAGAGTTTTACCATTGCATCTGAATCTACTTGTTCCATCAGGCATGACACCTTTGCCTTGCGTTAGTCTTATTTTACTGCACACATTAGTTTTGGGAGATTTACAGAATTTACAATCTCGACATTGAGGGATATAGAGAGGGATAACATGATCACCTAGCAAAAAATATTTGAAAAACATCATAAAACATGTGAACAATATTTATTATCAAATGTTTATTTTATTATGTCTTACCTTCTTTAAATTCAGTAACATCAGCTCCAACACTTTCAACAATACCCGAACCTTCATGACCCAAAATGCAAGGGAAAATTCCCTCAGGGTCTAAACCGTTCAGGGTATAGGCATCAGTGTGACACAGAGCAACTGAATTAATTTTAATCCTTACTTCATGGGATTTAGGTGGATCAACTTCGATTGTTTCTAATGATAATGGTTTCTTAGCTTCCCAAGCTACAGCAGCTCTACACTTGATAACCTTGTAACAAATAGAATAATTCATCAAGTTAACAATTAAACTGTATCCCAAAAGATGAATGAAATAATTCGCTGTCTGAAAAGTTTGCTAAACTTACTTTGCCTCGATTATTTTCCATTTCAAAACTTCTGCCAGAGCAAACACCAGAAAAATTTTAAGAAATATAATCTACTTGGTTACTCTCTAATTGATTGAATGGGAATCTTCGCCTCTGCGTAGCAAGTGCAGCATCAATTTATCGAATAACGCGATTATTTTTGCTCAAGCTGATTTCTTATCGAGCGATAAACATTAACTTAGACACGTTGTATAACTGCTTCGATACGAAATGCAAAACAAAAAAATAGATTTTTTGTATTGGACAATTCTAGAGGTCTCTGGAATAACTCAAATTCGAAATACTTAAATTATGAAAGCCTCCGTCAAAATTATTTAATGTTCACCGGCCGTCGGCTGATGTTTGGCTGCACACGGTGATCGCAAAGAACATGAAGCAGACGATACAGACAGCTACTATGTCTGTGGATGGCATATACACATACACCGTAACCGAACACGCTTGCAGTTAGTCGAAGCCGGTATTTTAAAATTTACATTATGCGGACTTGGGTGGTTCTTTGCAATTCATTTTTGCAAACACGAGATATAAACTTTAAATTTTCAATGATTTTTAAATTTGTAAGCTTGCAGCTAATGCAGAAATATTTTAATGTTGAACACGGGACAAAAATTTAGTACAACATTCAATGTAATGAAATCAATTTTTCGACTAAATACATTTTTACAGTGCATTTTCAGAAATAATAATTTCTAAAGTGCACAAGCTTTTGGTTGTAGATATGATAGCGCAAACATTAAAATATTCTCGCGACATTTGTCGACATGACATCAACTACTTGAGAAATTTACTTGGGAGTAATTCACAAGTAGAGACGCACCATAGGCAAGTAAATGAAAGAACACGTGCGTAGCCGTTTTCTTGCTTGATTACTCGTTTGTAATACATGTATTACGACGAGGAGAGCCTGATTATTTTTGGTTTTATTCATTGGTTTGGTTGGCTTCAGTTAGCATCAGAATTTCCTACGGATCGTGCGATATTCGACCTCGTAGGCAGCTGGTGAGCATCATAAAGAGTCTCAGCCATCACTTTCATCATCTGCTAAGTGGATCAGTATTGACCCTACTGAAGACAGCTTGACTGGCGGCCAAGCAGCTGTACTTCTACTCTGATCTTTTATTTTTTTACTGCGTAAAACGTTTTTTTCTGGCTGCACCACGTAGCGGCGACGAAGTAAAACACCAAAGGCTTTGTGAAATTGAGTGTTTTCTATTTTGTCGGCATTCAATCGCGTGCGCGTGAGATCGAGCTCGTAGCAACAGTACGCGGTAATTTTGATTGTAATCAATGAAGCGCTCAATATCCTTTCATTATAATTTTTCTATTTCAACTCAATAGTTTTGAATATTTAAGATATTATTACTAAAATTATTTAGATCATTTTACAATAACATCGATTTATATGGTGTATGTTTAATTGAATCATAAAACATTTTCTTAAAAATAAAAATAATAATAAAAAAATAATAAAAAACAAGGAGCGCTTGAAATTCATTGACACCCATGTATGAATTATAGGATTTTTTAACATGTTTTGACATTTATTGAAATTCTGATTGAAATTCTGATGATTTGAGTCTAAAAATCAAAAAACCAACTCAAAGAGCTTTTTCTTGAAGAAGTGTACGCGATCCTGGTGCCGTAACTCTATCGGTACGCTCTGAATATTACGTCAACAGAGGTGCATTTTGCAAAAACGTGAAACGCCAGAAAACGCAAATAAATAAAACATGTAACACGCAAAGTATACAAATAAAAAAAGGCTCACGGAAACAGCTGTATCTCAGTGAATAATCAAAAATGCAATGGAAAGGGGATCAAAAAACCTATTCGAAAAAAATTTTTTCTATTTTAAGCCTACTGTTACCTCTTAATTAATTCTCATTATTATTGACAATAAATGTAGATAATTTTAATACGATTTTGATACGATTTAATATCCCAATTTAAAAGAGCCTGTTTCACGTACTACATACAAACACACATTTTTCGGAATTCCATTTACTTTACAATTATTTAAACAAAATTGAAACACTAAAAATTTAAATTTAAGAACTTTAAAAAATTTTAATTTTTGAAATTAAATGTAAGCAAGTATGGCATACATTTTCATTCGTGAGATTCTAGATGGTAGTCGATAATGGTAAATCCTCTCGATAATTTCTGGCACAGATTGGCCTACCTTTAGGGCAGTTCAAAGCCATTTTATGTCGCTTTTAAATGTTTTTAAAACACAGTCCTTTTGAAAGCTTTAAGAGTTTTTTTATCATAGGGTCCCAATAAAAATAATTACCAATCAATCACATCAATATTGATTATTACATTAAATTCATGAATGACGACTAAATTCAATTTTTATAAAAGTTAATCATAAAAATACCGATATTGATAATCTTTTCATATCTTGTTTTGCATAATCTTCATTTCTCGTTCTTTTTTTATCTGATTACTCGGAAATTAATTCTCTTGATAAAATAATATTTATTCACAGTAACTGAAGAAAATTGAGTCTTGAATATAAATAGGTATAAAATGGAATGAATTTTAGTTTTACAATTTTCTTTGTTAAATTATTTTTATTTACAACATTTATTACACTTGTTAAAAAGGAAAAAATCTATTAACGCCTTTTAGGATTGCTCTTGGGTTTAATACCCTTCATTTTAGCTTTTTTCATTGATTTGCTCGCTTTCTGGTTCTTTTTGGTATTTGCTCTGTAAACAAAAACAAGTTTAGCATTCATTGATAATCAAACGACGATAAAAAAAAGGAAGAAAAAGTAAAATACTCACTCGTATCGCATTCTCTTGACGTTCTTCCTGCTCGTATCCGTCAAATCGCTGGCAAAGGACGAAGCCTTCCTCTTCTTGCCGGCAGCACGGTCTTCAGGAGCAGTAGCATCTACGCAAGATCTCATCTTCTTCGGTTTAATGTTCTTCTTGGCTAATCGCGCTTGAAAAGCTGCAACTTTATTTAATTCTTGCAAAGCTCGTTCTTCGGCTGGATCCAACTTCTTTGCTGGTTTTTTCGATTTCTTTTCAGGCCTTTTCTCAGATTTATCTTTTGACGGTTTGGCTGATTTATCCATCTCCGGTTTACCTTGCAGTTTTTCTGAAAATAAAACGTGAGATTATAACTACCAAGTCACAACAAACATGTAATGAAGACTGAGGTGCAGCTAATAAAGATGTGTACATACTTTTCTCTATATGCCTTTCTCGCTGTGATTGGAACCAAACACGCTGATCTTTATTGTCTTCGTCCTTCAACATGTTTTCGATGCGGTTGGCTTGATTTTCGACCTTGGCTAATTCTCGCTCTTCTCGCTCCTCGTTGAGGATTTTCTCAACGTCGGGCTCTAGCGAGACAAGCTTTTTGTTGTATTTGTCGATAATATTGGGCGGTATAATACGGTGTTTCACTGGATTTTTTGATTGCTTGATGACTTCCTTTACCAGTTGACGTTCTTGCTCACCAGCCAATGAGACCGAGACACCGCCTCGACCCGCTCGCGCAGTTCGACCAACCCTGTCAATAACACAAATGTTTATCTAGTACGGTTCAAATCTGGAGATGTAACCCATTAAAAATGTATAGCTACCTGTGGATGTAGTGTTGCAAAGTCGCTGGCATTACAAAATTAATGACTGTTTTCACACCACTGATATCTAAACCTCTGGCCGCAACATCTGTCGCTATCAAGACGTCTATTTCTTCGTCTTTGAATTTTCGCAGATTTTCCAACCGCTGCGGCTGAGTTAAATTTCCATGGAGTTCTCCTACCTATCGTTAAAATTTTTTGTTAATTCTATAACCCACATGGTAAAGGTACAAGTAAAAATTGTGACTTACCTTAACTCCTAGAAGTCCTAGCAAAATGTGTAATCGGTGGGCTTGTTTTTTGGTTTGCACAAAAATCATAGTGTGATCATGGAAAGTACGGCATATCAGGGCGGCTAGTACAGCTTCTCGATCACCTTCTCTTTCTTTACGGATTCTAGAAAAAATGTAAAATATTAGATAAAAATGGTAATTACCTATGAGTGTGTTTTTCGATTTTATTTTATTTTTCTTTGCAAGTGTACGAATTTTAATATTTAAAAATAAAAGTATTGGAGGATTATTTAAAATCTTACTAATGAAATAAACTTTCTTGTATCAGATACCAACCTTATAAATTCTTGTCGTAAAGCAGATGCAACATCTTGATTGCTGTCAACAAAAACTTTTACTGGTTTATTAAGAGAAACAGCAGCTAAATCTTTTACTTCTTCAGTCATAGTAGCTGAAAACAGCATGGTTTGGCGAGTTCTGGAGCATTGCTTGACAATTTGCTTCATTTGTTCAGCAAAATATTCATCTAACATTCTGTAAATAATATAAAATTCTAATAAAATTTTTTTGTTTTAGTTTAGCACTAGCATACAAACAAAAATTACAAACCTGTCAGCTTCATCCAAAATCAACACTTCAATAGTATCTAAAGTAAAAGTAGGTGCATTAGCCAAATGATCAATCAAACGTCCTGGAGTAGCAATTACAATATCTGGATTTTTTCTTAAAACACTTTCCTAATAAAATATTATTCATGAGTTAAAAATTATTCAAGTAAAACAACTTTTGGAAAAATTTTAATGACGCAAAAAAAGAAATTGTTCATACCTGTATTTTTACATCTAAACCACCTACTGATAATCCTACTTCAATAGAAGTATACTGCGCTAATTGTTTAGTTACTTGGTATACTTGAACACCCAATTCTCGAGTAGGAACAAGAACCAAAACTCTAGTTACTGGTGTCCCGCCAGCTGGTTTGTACAATAATCTTTCTAAAGTTGGAAGCATGTAGGCAGCAGTTTTTCCTGTACCTGTTGCAGCACATCCACAAATATCTCTGCCAAGTAAAGCAACAGGTATTGTTGCAGCTTGAATGGGAGTTGGATTGTAATATTTCATTGTGCCTATTGCCTGTAAAAATTTAAATTAAGTAGCTGTTCCAAAAAGTTTGTAACTAAGTTAAATAAAGTGATATTTGACATACTTTAAGAAGTGGACGAGAAATGTTGAGTTTCTCAAATGAAGCCAAGTTGTCGTACTCTGGCATTTCTTCAAAATTAACTTTTTCTTCCTCTTCAATTTTTCCTTTTTTTATTTTTTTCAACTTAGTTTTAATGGTATCTTTTTTAAGATCTTCTTCTGCGACAAACAAGTCAGTTTCTTCTTCATCTAAATTGACAGGTTCTTCTAATGGTTCATCTCCCTCTTTGTGAGAATTTCTTATTTTTTTGATTTTGTCATCAAGCTTAGTTTTGGCTTTACGTTTGATATATTTGCTCAGATCATTCCAAGTGTCATGCTCAAAATCTTCTTGGTTGAAAACTAAATCACCTCCTAAACCATTCTCCTTTTTTTTTTCTTTTAAACGAGGTTGAAACTGCACAAATTGATAAAAGATTCAAGAATTAAAATCAATTTTTTTTAATCATAGTAATTATTTAGAAGAATAGAGCGAATTACTTACGTCGTCTTCTTCATCAGAGGGTTCTGATAAATCCTCAATCTCCTGATCACTGTCGATTGTTTTTATTAAATCTGTCATTATTTGATTTTATTTAAGCAGAAGCACTAGTAAACTGATTCCGTAAACACATGCACGTGCGTTGCAGACTTGGAGCCAGCTATCACGATACAGTGAGTTGCCACAGTTGAATGTGGTGAGAATTCGAAACTGAGAAAAGCAGCATTTGCCATGCGTGACGCGCGCACTTGACTATCCCGCCATAATTCAATTTAACACTAGGCAGATGATTTTTTAAAATTTTTTTTTATGCAAAAAAATTAAAATTTACGTAATCACAAAATAAGTGAAAAAAAAAAGAATTTCATTGAAGTCTTGAATTTATTAAAAATAGACTAGTTCATGGCATACATAGCGAAAGTCACTGTGAAAAATTGAATACATAATTCTGCTATTATTTTGACGTTTTATTTATTTGCATAATACTTTTTTATTGTATAAATTACCTGAAAATTTTAAACATTTTTGTGACAAATTGAATTATTCACTGTAATTAAAAAGGTTTCGAGAACGTTACCCGTGATGTACAGAATGCAATACCTATTATCAGTAATATAGATGCTACTCCGAATTTCTTCATACCAGTCCAAAAGGACCATATAAATGACATTTTCATGAAAAACATCATGAGGGGATAAATTCCAAGAGCATTTTTCTCTATAATTAACATTTTTAACTTCAAACGTTTAAATTGAATAAATATTGTTAATTGAATTTAAATATACAGTAATATGCGTTAGGTATCCATAAAAGTGAGGCAATATAGTAAAAAGTTTTGAAATAATATTAAAGATATGGATACAAATAATTTAGGTAATTACAAAATTTATGTCCTAGAATATATACGTCAAGTAAGCAGTAATATGCATTAGTGTGTAATGAATTTATAAAGATTTGTGTAAGTGGTCAAATAAAAAAAAACAAACCTTAGTTTCGTCGGTAAAAAATAGCAAAAAATGTTACTTCATCATAGAGGAAGCTCTGTGATGAGATAGAAAAAGAGTTTTTGAACAAAATGTTAGAAGAAAATTTGCTTTATGTATTTGTAAACTAGAATTCCCTATACATTAATAAAAGTCGATTTCGGACTCATTACAAAGCTTCCGTAATGAAAAATCAAAATACTTTAGAGGCTATCACGGCTGCTGCAATTCGTGTGCTAGCGGATAAAACATAGAATTACACAGTATTATCATGCATAAAAAGATCTACTAGAATTTCATAAGAACATACGAACTGAAAAATTCTCCATCGTCTTGTTAAATTTTTTTTTTAATTTTGTTTTTATTGACGTGAAACATCTTTTTTTTTATTATATTGTAATTCATTATTTTCAAATTCTTTACCTTGTTATAAAAATATTGAATTGTAACAATATTAAGTAAAAATTATTTCTTAGCTTATTGCCCATTCTTTTTTCGCGTAGAGTTAAATTGAAAATGTCCAGAAATCTCTGTTAGGCTAGATAATTTTGTGCTCATATAAGATTATGTAATGCATTGCATTTTTAAAATTATGTTAACTTAGAATGATAATTTATTAATAGTCACGATCATGATGATCAGTTAAAAGTAAACATTATGTAGAAACATAAAAAGCACACATTTAGGTATTGTGGGGCTAATAATTATTTTCATAATGAAAATAGGTCGTAGTCTACACTATACGTTTGAGCTAAAAACCTCTTTTAAATATAAATTAATAAACGTTCACTTATTCTACGCAACTTTACAACGAGTAAAAATTATAATAATATTTGACGATTAAGGCAGAGGTTCGCATGTTAGGCTTCGCATACTGCCTTGGTGATTGATGAATACAGGCTGGGGATGTGTACTGCAGAATATTTACATGAACACACGCACATACACCGATTCACGGGTATTGCACAATATATATGCTGTGGACTTTATATATAGAAAACGAAGGGACCCCACCGCACGAGACGAGCTGACTGTACACATACGGCTCTATGATGATGATGATGTTGATGATGATGATGATGATGATAATCGAGCGAAGAAGCCGTAAATTCCCTAAACAAAACTGCAACGTCCTGAATCGCGCCTCGCCGGTGATGATCATCGCGCAAGCCAGTAGCAACACCACGCTATACGACTTTCCGTATCGCGATATATCTATATGTAGGTATTATACCGGACGGAAGTGCAAAAACAAGAAGCGCATCGCGCGCACAGTAGGAAAAAAGGGATAATAATGATGATAGCGCATTGCATAGACGCGCGTATATGTGTGCATGTATAAATGGACAGACATATTACATGCGTGTGCGGCTCATGTGTACCGGGATGCACACATGCTGCGTACAATATTGCGTACTCACTGCGGAGGTGGATCGCGCAGCGCGCGGAGCAGATCGAACGCAGTATAAAGTGTTTCTATACATGTAGGATAAATCGCGCGGCGATGCACGATAATGATCGTTATCGCGTGCTGCCACGTTCCACATGTAATTCGCCAAACAGTCCGCGAAATTGTGGCGCCCACCTATCCTACCTTCTATATACACTCTGTATCCAGACGAGTAAAATCTGGAACGTAAACGAGCAACTTGCGCGGATTATATACTCTTTTACAAATAAAAAATTGACCAACGGGAAAAATAATAATTTACACGGATTACTTTTCAAATAACAAATAATTCACGTCCAAGTTTTTTTGCGTAGATTACTCGTACGGTTGACTGATAGACAAGTACAGGGCTCTGCAGGGTCCAACCTGCAGTGGATTATTGCTATTATTGTTGTGTATGTTCAACGTTGACACAGCCCTTGCAATTCTACTGGTACCAAATTGGAGTCAATCAAAATTTTGGACGTGAATTACGTTTTATTTAATGAGAATAATCTGAATGAATTATTTTGTTTCTCGCAATCTGCGCATGTTAATCTTTTAAAACAAGTGATTCCCTTACTCTAATTTTCTACGTCAAAGATTTTATTCTTGTGGATTTACAGTATATGTTACAGAACTATGTTTTAGGTATAAACTAGTAAAATTCGAACATGTAATATAACGCGAGTTTTATTTTTACCCGGAAAAAAGAACAACGCGTTGGGCATGGATGAGCGTTTCAAAAATTGGGTATCGGTTTATATATCGTAGGCATGCTTATATTCCAACCGCGAGTGTATGCTCTGGGCTGTCGGTGAAAAAAATCAAGCTGTATAAGAGAAAGAGAGATAACGACGAGAGAGGCGAATGCGCCGTCGCTGCGGTCTGGTCTCTTCCTTCGCGTGTTGCGTTGCTGCTGCTTTATAACATCGTGTATGTGTGAACGTGTATACGTGTGTGTGTGCATTATGTGCTGCGTGCGGCAGCAGCAACACACCAGCAGCAGTATACCTACAGCGACTGGCGCTCTGTGCTCTTCGTAGAGCGCAGTCTTATTCAGTTGTACGTACTACACGGTTATTATTACAATACATCGACTCACAGCCAGTCAGTCAGTGTCGTCGTTGCGCGCGACGATGATGCCGCGCCGCGAAGAGTAACACCAGCCGCGAAACCAGTGGTCTCGAATTTGTTGTTTTCTCCTTTTTTGTGTCGCTCTAAATGCGTTCGACGATCGTGTCGCGGCTATATGCATAATATACAAGCGTGTGCTTTTGTGTAAACAACGTCGCATGCGAATAAATTACATGCATAATACATCGGAGTGCAGTGTGCAGAGAAGAAGAGGCGGTGTCGTGTGCGGGCGTTTTTCTAAATGCAAATAAAAGCTTTCGCTGTCATCGCTGCTCGACGTGCCACATAGCGATAAATACGCAGGAGGTACGGTGTATTTCACACAAAAAAATTAAGAAAGGAAAAGAAAAGTGACATCCGCCGCATAGCACGAGTAAATAACAACATTGTTAAAGTACGGATATCAGATTTCTTATCACGGGACTTGAGCCAGTGTGTGTGTGTGTGTGTGTGTGTATCTGTGTGTGCATAAATTCTCTGTGTATTTGATACGTGTGTATAAGTGCACCATCGTCGTTGTCGTCATCATCGACGGTGCATGCCACTTGGCAGCAACCTCTTCTCGTTTTCACAGCTCATCCCCCCGCCTAGTGCTAGTCTTCACATGTGTTACTTTTATGGAGTCACTCACACGCGTCGTTAGTTTCAAAAAATGAGTTATATGTAATACGTTGATCCATTGATCCAAGTGTTCGAATGCGGTGTGTACCAAGCGTACATATCGTTACTCGAGTGTTATAAAAATGCAGCCTTGCTCGAGTCTCTGTCTATATATACACACACATTCGCCTCTGCTCTGTAATAAACTTACTGCTGCTAAGACTGTGCTGCAGCAGGTCGAGAATTCGAATTTTCGTTCGCTTTCTTGAACCTCGGTTTACGCATTACCGCGCGGCCGCCCCTGCCTCCTTGTTGTATATAACACTTCGGAGTGTATATATACACAGCAGACATTGCGAAAGATTTTTCGAAGGCACTTGGCACGCTCGCGAGTATATATCATATATATATATTTACATGTTCGCGATACGTATACGTACACACTCACACATGTACATACTGTACCCTCTACATACACTCGGGCGCTCATTCCGCTGAATCGAGCCTCACGCCGCGTTACATACATACACATATATATATGTATACACATATTGTGAAACTCGCACCGATGAAAGTGAGGGGAAAGGTTCCGGTTTGCTTGACTTCGTTAGATATATAATATCTACATATATATATTTTAGCGATTGTGAGTGCACACACCTGTGCATCGTTTGATTCCTTAAATTTTTTTCACTTTTCCCAATTTACATTATTACGTACCAACACGTTGTGCCATTCGAATGAAGAGGTTGCTGACTTTTTATCTATTGTCTATATATGTATGTAGTGGGTGCTGATGTGCATTTCTGTCACCCGCAGGTATGAGTGTCTTTGGGGATTTCCAAAAAGTCTGGGAAGACAGATTCCCTGACAGTGCATTGCCATCTGCCTTAGAAGAGGATGTTAGAGCTAATCTGGTCAAGCACAAGCACAAGGTAAGATACATTCTGTCAAAGTGTTATTCCCTAAGCCTTTTATCAAAGATCAGATTCTCTTATCAAACTGAGCGGAGCTTGTATCATTCTCTGCTTATCATTGACTGTTGGTGCGAAAAATACCATTCATTAGCAATTTAGTGTAGATATGACTGTGAGGATTTATAAGCAAGTGATGAATAATGATTGAGCACAAGAGGTGAAGCGTAATTGTACAAGTATATCAGATTTTATGGGTTACGTACTCGTACAAAGAGAGATGATTCATCCAGTTTGATAGGAGGAACTTTAATTGGGCGGTGGCACTGTTCATGAGTAGTAGCGTTAAAGATATAATTGTCAACTCTTGCATCACTGACTATAGCACAAATTTGTATTGCTTTAGTTTTTTTACTTGATAATTTTTTTCAAGTTATCTCTTAATTTTAATTAATATTGTTATTGTTATTATTTTATCATTGTATACTACTCTTATTTTTCAATATTATCTAATCCTGGTAAAAATTCTTTCATAAATTTTATTTATTGAAATAATATAAGGTTGAATCTTGATAATTTTTTATGATTCATTGAATGGAAATGTTACTCAATAACATAAAAGTAAATTTGCAATTCAGTTTACTATGATGTTGTAAGCAATTTAACATATTCTATCCATTGTTTAAGAATTCAAGAAAAACTTAAAACTCACTCACTAATAATGATAATACATTTATTCTAATGAACTTCTTTCTAATTTTAAATTTAACATATTATCATAGGTTCAAACACTAAGAGAGGAACTTGAAAAAGAAGAATTTTATGTTGAATATCTGGAAAGATTATTGGCAGATGTAGAAAAACACAGATTAGCTAATCCTTCAACAACATCTGAATCCAAGGCTGCCGATGCTGATTCTCTCAAAAAGAAGCATCTTCAGTCATCTGAAACTAGTTCTTTAGAAAAAAATTCACATTCAGAGGAAGCTAAAGATTCTGCTCCACCACTTCCAGCTAGAGAAGATCTCAGTAAACTACAAGATAAATGTATTAGTGAATTAAGTTCAACTTTGAGTTCAAGCAAAAGACCAAAAAGCGAAATACCAAGGAGTCCTGAAAAGAAAACTGACCAAAGTAGGAGAAACAGTGATCCAGACGTTCCAAGTAACTATATCACTGTCATTCAAGTTACAGGTAACACTAAAAAAGATAAAAATGACGATACTGTAAAAGAAGAGGATGAGAAAGAATCCGAAAAGGCATTAGAAGATGCTGAGGATGGCGATGCTGAGGCATCAGAAGAAGAACCTTATTATGATTCAGTAGCTCTTGATCAAACAGGAGAATATGTTTACATTGAAGCTCATGCTCCTGCATTAGGAAGTAATGGAAGAAAAGTTCAGTCAAGACGGCCACCTTCGCTTCCTGATTCACCTGGAAATCAAAATAATTATGTCAACATTGATTACTTCATACAGTAAGTTTATGATGATTTTTCCGTAGAAATATAAATATTATTCCTTTCATTGGATACAACAACATCAACATGAAATGTTCAATCAGCTCTTTTATTTATAAACTTTAATCGATAATTTATCCAATATCTATTATAAGTTGTAAAAATCAAGTTATAGAACTTTTTATAACTTTCTATAAACAAACTATTTAAAGCAATAACCATTAATTTTCCAGACATCGAGCAGCAATGGACAGCGAAGATGAAGAAAATTCAACACCACCCATCCTCTTACGCACCCTGAGCACCGATAATGAAACGGGAAGCAGCGACGCCGAACCATTAAGTCTCAGTGAGGGTAGTTTAGAGTCGCCAACACCAACAACGCCCAGAAGACAAGAAAAAAGTAAAGATGACGACAGAACTTCCATGGTCAAGTGCATTATTGATTCTGTAGTTGAAAGTGAAGCTATTTATGTGGAATGCTTGGACGTCATGATACAGGTGAGATACTTTCTCGCTCCACTTTTTTTCCTTCTTTCTATCTTTTAACGATTCAAAGCGCATATTGCATAAATAGAAAGCTTGTGCTAATTCGATCGTTATCTTACGTAAATTGATGCTTGGGAAGGTTTTATAATTTTATTCACGTCGAATTAATCATTACAGTACATGAAAGCAATTAACGCTACAGTGAACACATCTCAGCCAGTCATCTCGCAGGATGAGTTCAATACGATTTTCTACAAAATTCCCGATTTACACAGGGTTCACCAAGAGTTCCTCGAAGATTTGCGTAAAAAGCTCGACACATGGGATAACAAAACTTCAATCGGAGAACAATTCAAAGTGAGTTTTATACTCGTTAATTTCCACTTTGTTAAAAATGATCTTTAATTTGATGAGTGTTATCCTAGGTAATGGCAAGTAAGATTCGTGATTACGAGGCGTTCTTGCACAATTACGCACGAGCTACAGATACAGTACGACGTTGCTCATCGCAATCTTCGCAGTTCTCGGAAATAACGCGTGACATCAAGTTACGAGGCTCCCCGAAGGGTCCAGGCCTCTCACTCGAAGATCTTTTACACAAACCAGTGGCTCGTGTTCAGAAGAATGCCCTTGTCCTTCACGTAATAACTTTTGTTTATTGAATGCGCCCTCGTATTAATTTGTATTTCGTACTGAAAACATTTTCTTAAATAACATTTTCAGGATCTTTTAAAGCACACACCTCAAAGTCATGCAGATTATGCACCTCTCTCGGAAGCGCTTGCGATGACACGAAATTTCCTTGATGAATTTAATATTGTGCAGACCAAATTTATGTTCAAGGTATGAAACTTTTAACTTTGCACGAAAACAATTTATTTTAACTTTATGCTTCAGAACAAACGATTAACTCTGTGTGTTGCACAGAATCACGATCGAGCACAGAGAAGACTCGTGAAAAATTCATTTGTTGTGGAATTGTCGGATGGCCATCGAAAATTGAGGCATTTGTTCCTTTTCAACGACGTCATTGCTTGCGCCAAATACAAGGCATCTGGCAAAGAAAAATATACATTCGAATTGAAATGGTTCATTCCGATGGCAGAAGTTGTAGTCATGGAAGATGGTATTGAACCCCGTGAAAATAGTCCACCAAATGTGGTTGTACTTAGGTAAGACTTTTATTTTAAAGTTCAAATGTTTAATTGCATTCAGAGTATTTTAATGACTCATTTTTTTTACTTAGATCTCAAGCGTGTACAGTAAGAGATCAAATTTTATGGGAAGAAAAGAACGACGATAAGAAAATTCGAATTGGTGGTAGAGGCGCAGAAAAGAATCGAAAAAAATTAGCTGAATTAGAGGCTCAGTTAGTTTTGGCTTCTCCAAATCTCATTTTGAAAGTTGCACAAAAAAATTCTAATCGCATTCAAAATTCGTATACATTTTTTTTGTCGAGCGAATTCGAAAGATCGCAATGGATCGAATCAATCGAAGCGCTCCAGCAGGTAAAAATTATTACTTTATAATATCAAATTTACTTTTAATTTTACCATTTGACCGTCTTTAATTTTTAGAGTGGCCAACCTCCAGGTCATCTTCCTCTCAATATGTACGATTTGAAAGCATGGATTGCAGCATGTCGAACTTATCTTCAAACCGACATGGGAAGTTACCTCTTGAGATCTGGACGAGACGAAAGCTTATTACTTGGAGACTTACATTTAACGTTGGTAGGAATTGCTCCACCTGGATTAGATAGGCCAGGCGATTTCTATATCGTAATAGAGGTTGATAGCTATGGTCATTATTTTAAGAGGGCAAAAAGTCACATAGCTCGAGGTCAAACTCCTAATTGGGGTAATTGAAGTTTAATTAATGTAGTATTTGCAATTATGTATCCAACATACTTACAAGTATTTTGAATTTTAGCACAAACTTTTGTAGTCGAATTAGAAGGAAGTCAAAACGTTCGAATTTTATTGTACGAGGAATGTGGTAACAGATCAGTTTTAAGAGGAAAATGTGCTCAACGTTTGAGTACGTCTTGGCTTCTTGGAGATGTAGTTAAAAGGTCATTGAGTTTGGGACCGGCTACATTAGATGTCTCTCTTAAATTTGTTCCAAGTGAAGTTACCCTACGACGAGTGCCTTCTGCCAAGCCCCAAGGTCTTTTTGGTGCAAAAATACAATTAGTCTGCAAGTAAGTATTTAATTTTTTTATACATATAAATATTCGAAAAAGTTTAATTGTTAATTGACCGAAATTTTTTTTAGACGAGAAAAGCGTGAAGTACCCTTCATCATAACTGCTTGTGTGCGAGAAGTTGAAAAGCGAGGAATGGCAGAAGTTGGACTTTATCGAGTTTCTGGTTCAGCATCAGATTTAGCTAAGCTACGAAAATCATTTGAAAGTAACTCGTATGAAGCGGAGCAATTATTGAAAGAAGTAAAATAATATTATTAAATCTTTTGAACATTTTTTTGAAGAACGTCGATCACTTACAAAATACTTGATTGTTATTTAGGTGGATGTGCACTCAGTCACAGGAGTTTTAAAACTGTACTTGCGAGAGATGCCCGAAGCATTGTTCACAGACGCTTTGTATCCAGCCTTCCTTGATGCCTTCCAAACTGGTGAGCTGTCACGTGGCAACGCCTTACGGCGCGTCTACGACGGTTTGCCTCAGATTAACAAAGCCGTAATCGATTTCCTTTTGTCGCATCTCGTGCGTGTCAATAAAAACGAGGCCCAGAACAAGATGTCCCTACACAATCTAGCAACTGTTTTTGGGCCAACTTTACTGAGACCAGGTACGAGCAATAGAAACGACGCCAAAAATCGGGATCCACTCGCAGCTGGAACTGTTGACGTCATGGCTCAGGCCGGCATCCTCTACTGTTTTTTACAGTTGCAGGTGCATCAAAATAATCAATCTTCACTCTAGTCGATACGCGCCGAACGTGGTGCGATTTTACTGCTCATTTTTAATATAATTTCTTATTTCTTTAATGAATCTAAAGAACGATATTCTGAATGTGTAAACGGATAGGCACTTGACCGCTTTTAATTAGATCATCGTGTGTTTAAAAAGAGCATTTTTTAACTTTGCAATAATTACAAGTATTGGCTTCATTCTTTACATATGCTGTGCTAAATTTAAAAACGACTGTAATTACATCTAAGTTTCTGAAAATAGCATAGAGTTATTAGTACCACTAATAATCGATGAGAATTGTTGGTGTTATTAAAATCGTAATTGTCCGATAATATGTTTAATCAATATCGTCGATCGAGTGGAAAATTTTTTGAACAAGTATCTATTTAAAGCAGGATAGAGTATCCTTGTCTTAATCCCTTGAACCTTTGTAGCTGAATGAAATTCATATGAATTCTTGTACAATGTGTATTTTCTTAACATAATATTATATAACATAATAATAGTCTTCTACGCAGACGCATTTTTTAGCAGCTTCTACCCGAATTATTATAAATATGTATAAATGTAAGTGCGTAAACCCTTATAAAGGGTGCGTTACGTTACGTGAACGAACATTTCGTAATTATATTCACATTCACTAAAGTGATAAGATATATTTTTTATTCCGCGTTTGTATATTATCGTATTATACAATAAAAAAACTCAAGATACAAAATTTACAAAGCAATCAAAGCTTTTACACGTATTTCAAAAACAAAAAAAGTACTTTTTTTAGGGCAACTTACGAAAGTTGAAAAAGTGTATAGTGTAATCTGTTCCTAAACTAAATTAACAAACTTGTCTACCGTTTGATTCAATAATTCTATCTATTTTAAACAGTATTTTACGGTACTCGTTCAGTGTTACATAATCATTTGAGTATTGTATTTCGAACGACAAATAAAAAGATAATTTTTTAAACGATTCTTTACTAGAGTGTTCCTTGTGACGTCGTTGGGTGGGGAGCAAAATATTTCCGCTATTTTTCTCTTTTACAATACATGCATACTCGAGTCATCGTATGAATCACAGCAGTGAATGTTACTAATTGATAAATATTAACGGATCATTTTTTGTTACTGAAGCATTTACAAGTGAGGCATTTTCTAAGGAGCGTTCGCAGACGCATTCTTGTACTTCCATGGTAATCGCGTGATTTTCTTAAACTTGTAGGTTCTCAATAATGATAATTTTATCGGCAAGCAGTGAAGATAAATTAATTCAACTTTGAATAGACAAAAAAGTGCCTGATTAAAGCATATTAAAAAAATAATAATAATTTTCACATATAATATCCGTGTTCACCGAAAAGCTTACAAAAGACGATGAAAAAAAAGCAAAAAAAAAAAGAACATGATGCCAAAGAGAAAGTTGATCTCTTATTTGTCTTTACGGAGTAGTGTAGGCATCACGACGAGTTTCTGCAAACACATATTGTTTGTATGAGAATTGGCTGTACAAATTTGATTATAGTATGAATTTTCGACTTAATATAAAATTAGCTATAATTCATTCCAAAAAAAAAAAAAAATAAGTACATGGATCAGGAAGTTCACAGATTATAATGAATATCGGAAAGAGAACTTTTTTAGATAACAATTACTACCAATTTCTAGTATATTTGAAGTCAATGTTCGATCAATTTTAGCGATCAAAATCGTTTTTTAATCATAGAACCCATTTTATATCCAGTTTAACTTTCGATACTCTGTTTAGCAAGTAAAAATGAAAATTTAGAATGATGTATGAATGAGAAAACGTGTAAATGACCCGCCTTCATACCATATGTATTATATATTATCTTATACATTAGATTAACGAATAAATAATTCGTTATTCCTGCTGCAAGGAAAACTTTTGAGCATTTAAATTTTGTGTGTGTGGCTGCATATTTCATTTAGCATATAAGATGTCTTGTGATTCGAATTTTTAATTGATTTAAAAGAAAACGTTTTTATATATGTAACGTGTACGATACCAGTATGAATTTTAATGATTTTTTATATAATTATATACTATATTGTGTGGAATCGGAACGATGAACTGCTGTGTCCTTATTGCTAAATAATGACTTGCAGACGGTCAAAGGCAATGCTTATATATTATATTAACATACCTTATTTTTATTTGTACATTATTTTATTACATTTAATAGCATGTAAAGTTAAACGCTATTGCAAATATTATTAGATTATATGATATAGATATATATTATAATATTTAATACTTATTAACTTTTATTAAACAATTTATTTATTGTGTCTACTGCGAAATCGGAGAAAAAATATTTGTTACATTGAAAAAGCACTAAAATGCTTTGGCTTTGCTTATTGAAACTGTTTTTGGTAGTCATTCAGTCGACGTTAAATTCTATATGTATTTAATGATGCGATAACAAAATTTATTTATTTCATGACGAACTTGTACTATTTTGACGTCCAAAAATTATGCGGAAATCGAAATATAAGAGAAAAAAAGTTAACAAAAAATTCTGGAAATATACGAGAAAAATTTTTCAAACTTTTACTTGCCTCGTTGTGTTTGCCCATCATTTGCTATCGATTATTGTTTTTTTTTTTAAATATTGTACTTTTCTTATCAGCCATTTGAGTGGGAATTTATAATTAAGCGCCAGTAGAGGAACGTTGCACGATAATTTTCATGCATTTGTAACTTTTACAATACTTTTAAACAATTTTGGTTTATAATTTTTGTTTTTTATAATATTATTGTGGATTTTCGCATCGGCCGTCGTCTCTGCTCCAGCAAAGATACCTCGCGTGAAAATACAATACATTCATAATATAATGGCCAATTTCGAACAAGTCCAGACTTGCACGTTCGTTTCATTTTTTCTTTATTTCTTTCCTCCTCGTTTTGTCGTCATTTCTATCGAGCGTCGGAGAGCAGACACCTACACGTTATTGAGATTCGGGACAACTGCGCGCAGCAGGTGGCAGAGGTAGCCGCACCGGAGTCGCAGCTATGTTATCCCAGAGTCCGGGTAGTCTCGATCCGTCCGATCCATTGCACTGCATGCCTTGATTTTTTGTGGGGGGAAAAAAAGGATACGTCAGAAGAAATTAATAATAATATAACAGCTCGTATGCGCGGCTCAGAGAGAGAAGAAATTTAAAAAAAAAAAGAAAAGAAAGGAAGAAGAAAGGTGAGTAATTCTCTTACCAAGAGGCGCGACCTCGTAAAGATCGTGAAGCGCTGATACCCGAACTTTGGTCCACTCGATGCTCCGATAATTGTCGGATGTTCCTTTCTCGGCGCTCGTTCCCTGGCTCTCCCATTCGCGCATGTAGCGGAAATACGTCCTAAGCGCGTCATCGCTTATGGCGCTTTTGCAAACCTGACATTGAGCAAGAAAAGTAAAGGAAGAAAGAAGCGTCAAAAATTTCACAGAGGTGGAGGTTCTCTTGTATTCTAGGAATCGACCCGGTGCGAGTCGAAACACGCTTACGAGCAGCGTAGAGCAAATATTTATGCAGGTATTTGAACTCACCTCGAGCCGAGAGTTGGGATAGTAATGGACGTAATTGACGCACATCTCGTCGGATATGGCGAAGCCGCCCAAGGTCACGTTCTTGCGGTCGAGGGTCTCGTATGTGCAGGTCGTTATCAGAGAGTCACCCTGCGAGTCACGGGCCAATCGTTCCAACGATCGTATGTAATAATATCGCATTATAAACGAGATTTATCAGGAATGAAGTAATAAAATTAAGACATATGATCGTAACGATGCTTTACGGGCAATACGGTGACGGGCCTCGGCAGCAGTCGGATCTCCTGAAAGTGCGTGGAGTAATGACGATCGTAATTGAGCATGGGCAGCTCCTCGCCGTCGCGCACGTGACGCGTCAGGACGCGCCTGCCCGTGAGGTGGGTGTGCAGCTGCGAGCCAAAGATCTTGATCCCGGCTTGGCCGAGTCCGACCCCGGTGCACTCGGCGATGCAGTGGCCCGACAATTCGAACGCCTCCTACGCAACGAGGAAAAAAGTAAAAAAATACGTCGATTCTTCGGAGGCCTCGTCTCGATTTCCTCGTGTTGATCATTTTCTACCTGACCGGGTGGTATGGCCATCTTATCGGTGTACTCGAGGCCGAGCTCGATGACGCCGGCGTCGTAGCGCCTCAGACGCCTCGTGAACCAGAATCCGATGCCCGAGGAGTCGACGGCTCCGGCCTGCAGCTCGGGATTGTTGTAGTGCACCTCGAGCATGATGTAGCGATTGAAGCCGGGCCCGCCGATGGGCAGTCCGGCCTCCTGCGGATAGACGAAGTCGTCGGCGCCCATGGCCCAGGCGGCCAGCACCTTCTTGCAGATCTGCGTCTTGGCGGGCCGGGCGGGCGAGTCGCAGGGCCCGTCCCAGTCGGGCACCTCGGCCTCAGCCGGACCCGCGCAGTGGAACACCTCCATGTGGTGGACCAAGTGCTCGTTGCCCGACTGGATCGCCGGGCCGAATTGCAGCACGTGATGTCTGCGGCGCCCAAAATTATATTAATTGCGCATCAGCGGCGAGTCGGAGGTAAAAACACATTTTTTTTCTTCGTACTCGTCGTGTAAGATCAGTCGCGATTGCGGTCTCGCGCGATATTGTAGCTGTAGGCTCGGTGCGATTAAAATCCGCGGGTCGAAATTATACGCGAGGCCGATATGTATATAAAAGCTCGCGTCGCATTATCTTGACTTGCACTCGAGCCGATCGTCGCATTCGACTTGGTCGTTACAATTACTGCAGCTGCGACTTTGTAGTGTATTGCGTGCGGAAAGTTTTATCGTGGAAAATAAGAAAAAAAAGTTGTAATCTTGTTCTTTCTACCCGATGTTGCTCGTATTGCACGATCGTTCTCGCCAAGAAGTGTGTTAAATTTCCAAGATGTGCGCGCGTGTGATAGTCTCAACTACGCCAATAGAAAAGAACTCGCCGTTCGCCCGGGACATCGTGGTGCGCACGCTTTCCTGACAAGATTTTACACGCGCGTCCAAGAGTCGATTGCCTATAATAGTTTGGTTGGTATTTTTCTCTCTCGAGCTTTGTATCATTATTATACTGACTTGCGTCGAAGCGTCGCGGGCAGCTTTTGGACTCTGCACCAGTAGGTCGTCTCCTGGCTGGGCACCTGGACGCGATCGGCCTTGACCTCGTAGCGCCAGGCGTCGCTGGGGAAGGCGGGTTTCGGCTTGTGCCAGCGCAGCAGCTCGGTGCGCGACATACCTCGGCTCTTGGCGTCCTGCAAGCTCAGGCCCGCGAGCGAGGCCAGCGGTCCAGCTCCCTTTAGCCAGACCAGGTGAGTCGTTCCTCGCTGCGATGATCACCAGCGATTAAGATATACAAACGTTTCAATTATAACGATCATTTTTTCATGTAATAATATATACCTCGAGAACGTAATCGTGCTCGTCGCAAGTGTCGAATTTTCTCGTAAACGTGAACTTGGTCGTATTGGCGCGCTTCTTCCACTCGAAATTCTCGCAGTCCTGGCTGCGCTCGTCCAGATGTATTTTGCCCTCGGCGTCGCTCCAGGCATCCTTGAATTTTTTTTTTTGTTTTTGTTATTTTACTCCGATCGGAGCGTCGGAAAATCAATAACAAAATTATATCGATAGCGAGTTTTATATAATGTTATTACTTGTAAATGAGTCTCGCGATGCCAATCGAGCCATAAAATGCAATAATCCGCCGGGGCGTAATCGCCGTAATCGGAGAAACCAATTGCGAACCAAGAGTACTCCTCGGCTGCGTAATGTATCTCGGTGATGATCTGCTCGCTGGTATGATCGACTCTGCAATTGTACGATATATCAACATTGGAGGACGATATTTATTTTCTAGCTGATCCGCCATTTATCAATTTTGGAATCGTCGTGCACGGGTACTTTTAAATTTATATATTTTTTTTTTGTTTTCACAGATCGGCGACGTTGTAAAACGCGTACTCTACACATTTTCGAATCGATTGATACTTTTAATTATTCAATGTGACATTGATACCGATCAAAAATCTCGAGATATTTATGCTCGAGTTTTAAAAGCTCACATATTTTGATCGGCCTGCACTCTCCGCGGAACGCCGTCGAGCATTATCGTCGACGTCGATCTTATTAAACATTTTTTATATCTTATCGTTTACAAAAAAAATCCGCTTATTAATAGCGAAAAATCGCATCCGAGCAAAATTATGACAATACAATTATGTGTCGCGCACATACCTCCAGTGCATCGATGCTTCGGAGCCAAGGGGGAGCGAATGGACGTTGTTATCGTCATCGCGCCAAGCTTCGGCCACTCCACCGATGAACAACGCAATTTTCACAACTGTCAAGAAATATAACCACACTGAAGGTTTCATTGTTTTTTAATAAAAAGGCAAGACGTTGATGAAGTACTACTCGTCGACTGGGATAGTAAGAAGAAGCTTCGATTGTCACGCCGAGGACTCGGCAGCTCCGCAGTCTGTATCGCGAAAGGATTCCCGTTACGCGCAGGCTCCGATTTTCCCGTACAAAATTTTATGTGTGGGAGCCGTGGTAAGGGTAGAATCGCTTAGATACAACTTCTCCCTCCCCCGTTGATCTTCAAAATACTTTTCTAAATGTTCATTCCTGGATAGAGACGACCCTTTCTTTACTTAATTTCGTTCGTGCAGTTATTAAACAATGTGACTATGAAGAAGAGGAATAAAAAGATGAAGGAGGATTACGCGGGAGAGATATCTAAAATTTAGTCATGTAATTCAATGATAAGTCGTACGATTTTTCATAATCTACCAACGCGTATCAAAAACGCAGCGAAATCGCGAATCGATACCTGTCAATCACGACGCGTGAGATCGACGCTATGGAACACAACTACGCCATCAACTTTTCTACCGCATGACAAACAATTTTTTGTCCTCTTTTAAAGGTACCCTTTTAAATATGGTGGATCGTGCGAAACGGCAATTTGCACTGGAAACCGGCGTTAAAGAGACGAAGTAAAAAGTACATAAAAAGTAAAAAAGAAAAAAAGGAAAGAGGGGTAGGTAGAGAAGCCACGTACAATAGTCATATTACATTCCTTAGAATGGAGAGCCAGGCCAGGCGCAATCAAGAAATTCCGTGGCAGCTTCAACGCGGGGCCGCGCGCACACGCCATGTACAAAGAGTACCTATATGTGTTTCGTATTATATGAAGTTCCTCGCGGAGGCATTTCGATCTGTACGTGTGTGACTGGAATGATTCTCCACTACTTGCACTACTTTCAATGATCCGCGAATGAAGCCACGGTATCGCCTACATGAGATCTAATTCTCTTCCTCTCTTTTTTTTTTTTTTTTGAAGTTTTCATCGATTCTGCTCTATACAGTTTCGATGGAGCGTTAAAATGTGCGATGGAGACAAAAATGAGAAAAAGGGAAGAAAAAGAAAGTAATGCGCGCAAAGTTCGTAAGACGAGCTTCGAAAGAGAGAGAGAGAGAGAGAGAGAGAGAGAGAGAGGCGGGATGTATCGTTTGTGTGCGTGCGTTCGTTCTTTGAAATCGCCTCGCCGATTCGTATCGTGCACGCCGTGGCGTAGACGTCTTTATATAAATGCAGTCTCGAGGTCACGATTCGTCTGAGAGTCCTTTCCAACAATATACATCGCCTCCTTAAACTTAAATTCGAATCGTCGTCGGTCTTTGCCTTCGGTGCCACGCCGCTTTTATTTTTGGAACTCAATACAGCCTCGCACAGACGACACTCGGGCGTACATTAGACTATTACTGTATAGTTTTGATCTTGTAAATTCGAAATTCATTGGTATATAAGTATTATTTCCAATTATCATCGGTTTGATAAGAATTACTGCGGCTGCTGTTGCTTCTGAATCCAGAAAGAGAGAGAGAGAGATTGAGAGTGAGAGAAAACGAAAAACACGCAAATTGCCGAACTTTCATAGTATCATACTATATTTATACGGAGCGATGCTGAAACGTGAGTCGAATTTTGAGATGTATTCGTCGTAATTGCGTATCTAGCACACGAGCAAATTTCCCGATCTGCGACGGGGGAATATTATATTGTGCTATATTCTTTTTTGTTTGCATATAACGACAATATACGTCTCGTGGTGGCGGAATTTAGAGAATTTCATTTAGTCATATCTTTGAAAAGGAAAAGAATGGGATAAAACTGAGGACGATGACGACGATTCAAGCAGAAAAATGTGAAATTACGATTCAACAAGTCGGCGCACGGGTGGAGGTGACACACGCGCGGACACCCTGCGAATTCCGCCAAACATACGCACGCGTGCACGTGATCAGTGGGATGATTCAAAAGAGCCTAAATTTACTCTTTTCGACTCGTCATATTTTTGTGTACGCCCAAGTCATGGGTATATCATTCGTGACGTTATACGTTCGATGAATTCGATATATATCCGCATGTTCTGTGAATTTCAGCTGCCGAATGGAGTAAAATTCGACGCTTCGCACGTGTGCACGTGCATACAGCTCGTCCTCGTGCACCTATGCACGTTTCTCAATCGATTATTCTCACGAAATTTTTTTGCAACCAATTTTTTTACACACACGTATCCCCCCTAGGCTTGCAATTCGATTCCTCGGAGTATGCGCTCGTATTAACGTGACGTCACGCGTGACCCGTGCCGCTGGCCGCAGACGATTGTACCGCCGCTCAGCTGACGATCGAATTCAACAAAAAAAAAAAAATAATAATAATAATAATAATAATAAGTCGGTGCGCACTCGCGGTAGATGAGCTTGCGCTGCGCTAAGCTGATACGCCCATATAATGTATATAGCGCGATATGAAAAAATTGCCCGTGTCGAGCTGTAGCTGCTATTACGCGTGCGATCGTTTTCTTTTTCGTCTACATTGCACTTGAACTTGAACGTGAGAACGTGCCGAACTTACACAGGCGCAAGCGACTAATATTATAGTCGCGCGCTCGCGACGATTAGATCATTTTTTTGTACCAAAGCTGCCTTTTTTTGGCACGTACTCGTGTATAGGATTTCGCGATCAGCGTCGACGCTATTTTTCGTCAAAAATCGAAAGTCCATCGAGTGAATTTATAATCCATCGGGGAATAGCAAGCCTCGGCTTGGAGCGCGCGAGGTGCGTTGAACCAAAAAAGTTTGACAAAAAAAAAAGAAGAGAAAGAGAAAGAGAGAGAGAGAGAGAGAGGTTTCTTTTTTGCGAGAGAGGACTATCAAGAGGCCGATGAACGCCACACACGCACGACACCGGCGCTGCTGGTGCAGTGCACGAGTTAAATAGCATGGATAAAGCTGCAGAGATGGGCTTCCACAGAGAAGGAGGAGGAGGTAAAAAGAAAAGAGGGGAAGCACACGGATGAAACGTAAGAAAAGAGAGATATAACAGCTCGCTCGCATGTATAACACGTATAGCCGAGAGCTCTGCGTCTCTGTCTGGTTGGTCGTTTTGAGTCTACCATATGTCTGAAATCTCCCACCTCTCTCGAGGCTCGTCGTCGTCGTCGTTGTCTAGCGGCCCTCTCCGCTTCTGTTGCTGCTGCCGCTGCTGCCGATCGACTCGCCGCGTATTATATACACGAGCAGCGCCAGGCATGAATCGCTCGTTTTCAATATACACTCGTAAGCTCGCGCCGCTGTACCGACGAGCCAACGCCGCCTGAGACTTCAGTACTGGCTGGGCCACGCTTGCGAATATATATACACACACACTTACTTACGATACAACACAACGCACGGTTTATATCGGCAGAGAGAGTCCATGTCCTGTGGGCTTTTTACACACAATTCGACAGCTTGACCGAACGCAATTTTATTCATTCTTATCTTCGAGGCTACGCTGATCGAGTACATGATTAGAAATCAGTCAAAAATTTTAGTTCGTGGGCACGTATAATAGACAACGGAGCGATCGAAGATTCGTGCTAGACCAATAACGGAGAGAGCCACGAATTAACGGAGAACACTCGACGAAATTTGCTCCGACCTGCAATCGGTTCGTCGCAAGTACGTACCGCAACGCAGCAGTGAAAAGTAACGTACACACAAGCCTAGCGCCGCTACTTTGGTCGCAGATTAAATCGCGACCATCATACGCAAATCAGGTAGCCAAATCGAGCGAGACACTCACGGAGATTCGGAGCAACAGAAGCGACAACAAAAGTTCTCGTCGCTCGTGCAGTGGGTGCGTGTGCAGTGGGATAATTATCGTTTCTGAGCTGGCTGTAATCGTCGCTGCAACTCTGGAGAAATCACGCGTGTCACTCAGCACGTTACAGTGCGAGCGAGCGATCTTGTGCTATTTGGTGGTGAGTGTGCATCCATCCATAATTATTACGCGCAATGCGAAAACAACGACAATGACAACAGCTGCCGACTTTTTTTCTTCTTCTTCTTCTCTTTTTCGTGCACCGATCTTGAAAATAATAATCATGAGCGTCGACGTAGAATCGTGCGAAAACTCCGAACTTTCACACGCCACGGAAATTCGTGCGCGCACACGTACGCGATACACATGCGCAGAGCTGTCACTATTTTATCACACACACATAGGCACGTAGCGAGTGCGTGTGCGGCATGCTCGCTAACATACATATATAATATCTGTCTGTCTGTCTGTCCGTGTATCCATACATATGCTCGAAAGAAAAGATCGTTTCACGGGAAAAACCGTTGGCTGCACGGCAACACGTGATCGGCCGGGGGGAAAATGTTATGAGCGATTAGCGCGTAGCTGACATTCGTCGGCAGTGTTTGCGGCTGACTCGATACATACACGGAGCGAATATATTTTTTCAACTCCTTCCTTATTGATCTTGGCGTATACAATACTCGGCTCTATGTTGTACAGTCATGTGCACGGTTTCTTACCCGAGCTATCGGCAATTGTGCATCCAATCGTGCGTGCGTACGCAACGTAGCTCGTTGCTTTTCACACGATTATTCCATCGAGCTACAGTAGCGTCGAACCGCATGTAGTCAATTGTCACTTACGGCACATTTTGACTCGATTCTTTTTCTTTATAGGTTGCGTAAAATCCAAAGATTAGAATTCGAGATGAGCTCAACGCGAAAAAGTAGTCATTGGACTCGAGTGTTTGGCAATTTGCTCTTATCGTCTCGTTTAGTATATCAATTTGGAATTAATGAAGTCGCGATGTACATTATTGTGAGATTTTAGTCACGGGTTCCTAATGATTGTTCTAATAAATGAAATTTATCGAAAGATAACTTTGATCGCGGACCCTCGTTAATAAAGTTTGATCGTTAGTGTAGACTTTAATCCAAGTTTTTGGCCATCGAAAAATTCGCCAGATTCTCATTTAAAAAAGTTTCGTCGCTCTCTCGCTCTCATCTTCTCGAGTCGTAACGTTGTAAAAAGGTCGACGACACAGAAATCTACTTTGCAAAAAAAGAAAAGAGGAAAAAAATCTCGCTCGTCGATCGAGCGCCGCTTTATATACACACGCACACGTAACGCGGCGCGTCTCTTGCAAAACGTCGTGCGTTTGCAGCCGCAACCCTTTCTTCGACTATACTTACATACTATATACATACACGATCGAACGAGAGCTCGGCTCGATCGGCTGTGGCGCCTACAGTATCTACATGCGTATTATACGACCACCGCACCGAGTCTCGCGGCTAAAATGACATTGCCAACGAGTCCGCAATAATTCCGCGAGAATTTTCTCGAGACTCTGTTTTATGCATGTTATGTATATTGGAACTGATCGATTCAATTGCCGACGATTGTCTTCGCGTAATATTGCAGCATTCGAGCGCAATTGTCGGGCGCTTTTCGCGACTAAACGTACTACGCGATGCTGTGCGCGCCGAGGAATAATTCGATGGCGTCGTTCAAAGGCATGAATTGATACAAAACAAAATAGAGTTGCACAATACAAGAACGAGTTTTTTTCGTAATTATATCTTTAAAAAGGCTAATTCCAATGAGACCACGTAAAAAATACAAAAGCAGCTGATTGATACCGTTTGTGTTTAACGAGTGTATAATGGACTCGCACCGATGCCCGCGCCCGTTTGTATTTTTTCTAGTTCCGAAATGATGAATTCGTGCATGTTTATGTTTACATATCAATTGAAATGAAATTTCCCGTTTTCAGAACGAAACTTTTAGATAAGTTTTAACTTCTTTTTAGTATCTCTAACGTGCTTAGATATTGATAAAACGGCCGGCCGGGCCTCTGCTCACTCCGCACATGTGTGAAATTGGAATAATCGACGATGTTTCTCGAAATACTTCATACATTCATCGAGATCTTTAAGGTTTACTCACTCGTTATCTAATTTATGAATAAGAAAAAAGATGATGCGCATCAGTAACATATCCAACTAAACAAAAGTCTAAAAATGTCTCATCTTTTATAAATCAGCGGCCTACGTAATTGATTCAAACGCAGACCCGCATCGTTATTAATTCGAATCGTTTCATTTTAAGTGTGTACTGTTACGTTTTTAATGTACGTGTAAGGTCGATGAGATTTTTATGAGAGCGCAAAAATAATTACTGCAATCGTGCAGATGATTGTGCGTTGAGCGCAAAAAACCTCTCAGTCCACTATACAGTTTCGAAAAATTTTAAATTCAGAATAGGTCATTTAAATGAAACAAACATCGCGAATCAAAGCACGCGATTAGATAAAAAAAAAGCCGCACAGTCTCGGAAGTCGAACGAGCTATACGGTAATTAAGTTACGGAATATTTCCAAGTGCGCGAGTACGCGTTTTGGGCAAAACTCGAGTCTCCAAAATATCCCACGCGCACGCGATCGTTTTTTACAATATGCCAATAAAATAATAATATACACGCGGTTGTGTTGGTATAGGCGCGACGCGCAAATTTCCATTCATAAAAGCTCGCGAGGCGCGAGAAAATAATATTTTCGTACGCATCGAAGCGGGGTAAACAAACACAGCGCAGGTATATATCGCTATATTATGAATCGGAGACCGTTCGAGTTTTCTTCCGCGCACGAAAATTCAAAACAACGGATTACGTCATTGGAGCGCGCGCTGCAGCCCGATCGCATATTATTGCTCCAATATATACAGGCGATATCGAGCCGGGCGGTGTATATGTGCCATACAGAGGGTCAATGACCTCAATGAGCATGAGCATAGCAATCGACGGTCCCCGTGATATTGTTCGCCGAGCTATAGAGAGAGAAAGATGAGTCGCGCGATCGATTTAAAAGCTCGTGATGATATTAATTGATTTGTGGGACGCTGCGACGAGCTACTGCTCTCGGTGCGATATGGTGTCTCCTTTCGATTATTATATTCAATTGACGATGGTAAATGTAGGCTATATACGAAATTGACTGCACTCGGCTGTGTACATAATGACGCGAAATCGCGAACGAACGCTGCCTCGAGCGAGCCAATAGAAGTTCGAGCTGCGATCGCCGACAATTATTGCTCGTTTGAGGCTTTTAATTTCTTCGCCTCTTATGCGGTTCTCGCGATTATTAACGAGCACGAGCCAATCGCAATAAATACACATATAAATTTACATCAAGCATCGAGTGCATCTTTTAACAATAAAAGATCGTTTCGCATGCCAATTATGAAACGATTCGCCGATCTACCGAGTTTACATGTATATGTATAAAGCATAGACAGCGTATACGTACGCGAATTGGTAAAATTTATTTATAATCTATCGTTGCGGCGTGTATACATGTACGAACTGGCATACGTACAGCAAAGCTAGTCTCTTTGTCCGATCGACGTCGAGCTGCACTGCCGATGCCGAGATCCGGAACATGCATCATAAACGCCGCGCGCGGCTACACACTTATCGTCAGTTGCAGCGCGAAATTTGCGCGCGTAATAGCTGCCGCGGTGCAGTAGGTGCGCGTGTGCAGTGTCAGATAGCGGCGGCGCTTCGTCGTTAATTATGTGGAATTTTTTCAACAATCTGTTCTGCGCCAACAGCGACGGTACCGGCAATAGCAGTGGCAATCTTGTCCTGGCCAATTGCGCCTCGGGCCTGCGTCGCGGCATCAACTTTAACAAGTCTTACATCAACGAGATTCTGCTCAATTGCCTCGTCAACGAAGTCATCGGTCTTTTTTTCTAGAAGCTGCTGCGCAGAATAATAGCGATGCTGTACGTAGAGCTCGCACCTACGCAGTACTGGGTACGTAGAGCGTGTCCAAGGAAGATGCCATGCGGCAGTTTTGCGCTTGTTTTTCTCTCTTCTCCGATAAACGGCGAGTTATGTATAGCTTCCGCAGTTATTTTCCAAACGTCCTCTGAAATCTATGCTCGAAAGGGGAATCGAATTTCCGTACACTTCTTTTCCCCCCCGTCAAGCGAAAAATCGATGTTCGTTTGGAAAATCTTTTAATCAATACTCTCTTGGCCTTCGTAATTATATATTAGCAGCTACGAGCCGAAACACATCGCCGATGGGCTTTAACGATTAATCGATATATTCGTATTATGGCAGCTATGCGCGACGTGCTTAATCTTGGCTGTCAGCCACGAATCGCCCGAGAGTCCATTACAATATGCCAAAGGCAGTTCGTCACCGATATAATAACTCGATGTTTCGCTCGCTTAAAATATCAAGAACGTTAAAACAATCGTTGCAACGACAATAAACCATACAAGCTTCCGTATATACACAAGATTTCAAATAGTTGCAGCTCTAACGAAGCTTATATCTGGGTGTGTATATATGCTACGTACGGTCACACGGCGAACACTAATTAAGCGTAAAGAAGAGAAGAGAGAGAGAGAGAGAGAGACTTGGACCGAGGCGCGCGCCAAAGACCTTCGCCTTGACACTCGCACACTCGTGCACTACGTACACATGCGTATATTAAGATCCTCTAATTTCATTCGGTCACGTAACGCAACGACATGCGCATATGTACTTCGATCGCCGTGCACGATCGTACGAAGATTATACACATCTTCGCTGTTTATCACGTTTACGTTATAAACTTCTCCTCGAGATGTATATGAGTATACAAGCAACTATAAATGTAAACATGTGTATGCATACTGTTTGCAACTGTTATAAAATCCAATACGACCTTCGATGATATTATTGTCTAATTTTACTACGAATCGAATCGAGCGTCAGCGAGAATTCCGGAACGGAAGTGTCATACGGTGTGCGGCTGCGTTGCTGCTTCTACTGTTTCAATTCTGTAAACTAAATTCAATCGATGATTTTCTCATTTTTCGATCGATGCCTACGAAAACACATTAATATACGTATCGCTTGGCGAACGACACTCGATCGGTATTAGTTTGTACATCGCTCAAGCTCTTCATCATTACAGCTGCTATACTCGCATGGTGTTACAATATGAGGCACATCGAAACTGTCAACTTAATTGGTCACATATATTATCGACTCACGAGGGCAGCGATCTCGAGATTCGTCGTATGTGTATTTGTGCGTGTGTGTGTGTGTGTGTGTGTGTGTGTGAGTGTGTCATAGACGTCAAATAACGTGTGGATGTACACATAGTTGCTCACCCGATGTGACGCTCGTAGCGATTGGCCATACGAAACATAGCATTTGATTTTTTTTCTTTTTCTTTTTTTTCATCAATCAATTTTCACCCAAAAGTTATATTTACCAACTTTTTTTTTATAAATAAAATCGAACTCTTCTATAATGCCTGTAAGGCAAATTCAAGGTGAAGCTTCCATGTTCGGCGACGTACCGTCGTAATACGCATACCAATCGATTGCGAAAAAAATATGTCGAAAAAAAAAACATATCGATCAAGTATGCTTAGGAGATTATATAGACGTGTAAAAGCTATATGAGCAATTCTCCAAATGAAACGCATTTTTGGAGGTAGAATCGCGACAAATTTTTTTTTCAACCTACGCGGATACGGACCCCCGGGAAATGTTTTTGGGGGTCCTAGGAACATGTAACCACGTAGGAACCATTGAAATTTCAATAGTGCTTATTTTTATAGCTACTTTCGTGATTTAGAGGACGAAAAATCATGTTTTCTCGTAATAATTGCTAATGACTCAATTTCTAAGTGGCTGAAAAAATATCAAAACTCATTTCAGAAAAGTGTCTGACTATTCCATTCGATAGGAAATTTTCTCAGCTTTCCGATGGCGATATCAGATTTTTCGATACATGCATATTCATTGAGAAATTCACCACCGAACATGCCGAGCTAAATATCTCGAAAAAATCAGTACGGAAAAAGTGCTTTTTATGGCTTATTTTTGATTTTTCCTCGTGAAAATGAAATTTATCGAAAAATCTGACAACACCATAAGAAAGCTGAGGAAATTTCCTATCGAAAGCATATCTTTATTTATTTTTTCGGTGGAATTACGAGCTAGTTTTGATTGTAGCGAGCCGAAAACCTCGCGACCGCGCTGAATCAGCTCGGAAACAGAAAACAGCGAACAACGTGAAAGAAATTCCCATGTATAACATTGTAATTCCACCGAAAAAATAAATAAAGATATGCTTTCGATAGGAAATTTCTTTGGCTTTCTCATGGTGTAGTCAGATTTTTCGATAAATTTCATTTTCACGAAGAAAAATCGAAAATAAACCTCAAAGATCACTTTTTCCGTACCGAGTTTTTCGAGATATTTAGCTTGGCATGTTTGATGGCGATTTTCTCGATGAATGTGCGACTTATCGGAAAATCTGATACCACCATTGGAAAGCTGAGAAAATTTCCTATCGAACAGAGTAGCCAGTTATTAGTTTTAAATGAGTTTTGATACTTTTTCAGCGACTTAGAAATTGAGTAATTAGCAATTATTACGAGAAAACATGATTTTTCGTCCTCTAAATCACAAAAGTAGCTATAAAAATAAGCACTATCGAAATTTCAATGGTTCCTACGTGGTTACAGGTTCCTAGGACCCCCAAAAACATTTCCCGTGGGTCCGTATCCACGTAGGTTGAAAAAAAAATTTGTCGCGATTCTACCTCCAAAAATGCGTTTCATTTGGAGAATTGCTCATATAGCATTCGACCCTGCGTTTATACAGGCTTTGCTTTGAAAGCGATCATCGCAAGCTCGACACGCGAATCAAATGACACACACACACATGAACACATCCAAACTTTGACGTGCACCGCCGTAAAATCTATACGCCCAACGAAAAGTCAAACGAAAAAGTAGAAGGAAAAAAAAAGAATTTCTAATTTTATCTAACGGGGGATGTGTCGGGTCGACAATCAGTCGCTCGTCACTCGCCCGCGCGACCGATCGCGAGCTTCAAGCGTCTCTTAATAATTTGGCTCTTCGGCTTCTTTTGTGTGATTCGCAGAACCAGAATTTGAGATACCGAGGCAGCAGGAGGTTCAGCCGAAGAAGATCGCATCTACATCTGCGAATAGCGTGAGGATCGAGGCGCGCGACATCGAGCAGCAGTAGACGCACACAAGACAAGACAGCAAAAGACTCCTGATAGACGGTTCAGTCCGTTCCGCGAGCTGACTACACCACCACCCCCGTAATCGATGGGTTGAGAAACGCGAGTCTGGTTTTTTTTTCTTTTTTTTTTTTTCTATTTTCTCTACTACGTCGTACTCGCTCGCACGCAATCACGCGCGCGCGAGCAACGATCGTGTACGGAGAAAAATTAATTAACCATTGAGAAGTGCGCGCCCGATTGGGGTCGTGTTGAGGGGCTTGTAAGCGAGCACACTTGGCCTGTATACAGCAACACCACGACGCGCTGCCGAAGATTCGTGTATGCGTGCTAATCATCGTCCAATGAGCCATGTTGAAGGTAGTGGGCGCCTCGTGGCTGCAGACTCGCATCTCCACCTGCATACTGCTGGCCGTCGTGATTTTCGGCATAGGCATCATCGTATTTGCCGGCTACGGACGGTGAGTGTCACGTGATATTATATCAATCAAACTCATTTTCTTTTTTTTTTTTTTTTAATATTATTATATACTATGTAGTGAGTAAGAGCTATAATATATGTATGCATCATAAGAAGCGAGAAAAAAAAAGATCCACGTGCGAGCGATATGTGTAATTCGCAGCACATACATAAAGATAACGGGCCTCTCTCTCTCTCGGCTTCTCGAGCGTAGTATATAGTGTTACCGCGTCTAACGCAACGAGACCACATGCAAGCTCGCGTCTATACACTCACGATACGTCGGGAGGTTTCATGTATATATGACGTGCACTCGAAGCGTCAAACTGGAACCATCGAGCATACGTAATATAATAATCATCACGATATAGCGACGACGAGGATACGCGGTCTATATCAAATGAAAAGATTTCGATGCTCGCTAGCGATCATCGCGCGCGCGGCTTATCGCTGGGATCCGCGTACGTAAACAGCAGCCAAAGGCGCGCCCGAGAGTATATTATTTCATTGATTACGACCTGTCTCGACGTTGGCTCGCATTCGACGAAGATCAAGTTCGCGAGCGCACGAGCACTGCGCAAGCTGCAGCTCGTCGTGCATCGCTGCTGCAAGCTCGAGTCGTCCGGCTCCGTGCGTACTGTATCAGCATTTAAATGACGCAAGCAGGAGGGATGGCGTCAATGTACATTGTATCGGTATGATATAACGAAGGAATGAAAGTGCGCATGCCGCGCACGCGTGAGATAATGAAGACCACGATTCGTCGGACCTCGTGTGCGCTGTATGTGCGGTCGTTTTTTTTTATATCGAAGTTAAGTTGAGCGCTCGAATCGATCGATTAAAGTACGAGCGAGAATACATACATTATAAAGGAGCGATAGAGAGAGAGAGAGAGAGAGAGAGAGAGAAAAAAGAAAGAAGGAAAACATGCGTGCGTGTGTGCACAAGCCGCTCGATTGAAAAACGATATCCGCGCCAGTGCGAGCTAATGTTTCTTTGATCGCTCCTAAACGCTCTTTCGCGATGATATAGATATTGTATGTATTTCTAAACACGGTACGCGTGGCTTGTCGTTTACCGCGACCATGAGATCATATTCATAGCTCACCCGGGCGCAAATAGCCTATATAAAATAGCTTGGATCGATCGACTTTCGTATAGCAGTTCGTATCACATGGAATTCATAACATTTGTATACACGTTTAGTATTTATTATTACTTTCCTCGTTCTCTCTGTCCTCTCTTTAGCTCCGTGCAAGATGGCATGTACTCGGCGACGGTCAGGTGGAAGGAGCGAAACGGCTACAGAATTGAGTTCTGGGGACAGGGCAACGTCTTGACCAACTTGCCGATGGGCGTCGCGCGAGCTTACTACCAGACCAGCCTACTCCACTCGGGGTAATTATAACGAACGACGAAAATTCCATCACCATAATTCTTTAGCTCTATTCAATATTATCATGCGTTCGTGTAGTTGGTCGCTCGTGGAGATCGAGACGTCGGGCGAGTATCCGGACCACGTGCAGGCCTACGCGGCGGGACTGCTCGAGGGCAGCCTGACCTGGCAGCTGATCCATCATCATTGGCTCAACACCGTTAAAGCGGCCTGCGCGCCTCGGGCCACCCTCTGCCGGAAGATGCGTCGCTACCTCAAGGAGAACATGCAAAGCTCGCGAGACAACGCCGAGAAGCTGCACACCGAGGATTCGTTCTGGCATATGGTACCGATACTTTTTATCGATTTTTCACTCTGCGCTTAACGATCTCCTATACCATAGTAGCTCTAACAAATTACATAATAATTTACTAACCAGCAACGTGTATCGTTATGTTTTCGCTGCTAACATCCAAATTAACAAAGGATCCTTAATTAATCAGCGAGTCCAGGTACTAATCAAGCTCGTAACGAACAATTAATAATCGCGTAAATCACTGAAATCCTATTGGTGAGCGAACAATTGAATAAAACCGATCGATCGCAGGTACATCTGTTCAACAAACAACTGGACGGCATGATAGACGGCTTCCGGTTCGCCGTGCACCGCAATCGCAAGCCCGAGGTGATGATCGACAAGGAGGACTTTTACTGGCTGGCCATGGCCTCGGATCTGCCGGATCTCGAGCGGGCCAACAACGGCACGCAGAACCACATCGCCTCGGACGGCATGATCGTGCTGAAGGCCATGGCGAGGGAGCACTTCGAGCCGCTCATGGCCCTGGCGCACAACACCGCGGCGCCCTACTCCAAGATGCTGCGCATGATCAAGAAGTACAAGTTCGCCTATCATCGCACGGTGAGCGAGGGCAGCAGCGCCGAGGACGACGCGGACGGCGGCGGCGACAACTTCGTCAACGGCGAGGAGCTCGTGGCCGGCCAGTCGATCGTCATGACGTCCTATCCGGGCGCCCTGTCCTCCCAGGACGAGAGCTACTGGATCACGGGCCCGGACAATCGGGAGCTCGTGCTGGCGGGCACCCCCCTGGTCGTGACGCAGCGCAGCCTCTGGAGCCGTCTGCAGGCCAAGGACCGGGTCATGTCGCCGGCGCGCATCATGGCGGCCAATCGGCTGGCCGAGGACCTGGCCCACTGGTCGCAGCTGCTCGGGCGCCGGAACAGCGGCACCTCGAGCCGTCAGTGGCTCGGGGTCGAGCCCAAGATCGGCAGCGTCGGCCTCGTCGAGCAGATGTCCAACATCACCGAGTACCAGGACCTCACGGACGAGTTCAAGCGGACGGGCTTCGTGGCGTGCACCGGCGCCCCGAGGAGCGCCAAGTTCCTCGAGTTTCGCTCGATGGACAAGTGCGTGATCAAGGCCGAGAAGCTCGCCTCGCTCCAGGCCAACATCAGCAGCGTGGATCGGCTCAGGCGTCTCATGAGCGGACACGTCGACTTGGACGGTGACGACGACGACGAGGACGAGGACGAGAACAACGACGATAGCGAGAGCGACGAGAACAGCCAAGAGAACGAGGTCGGCCCGAAGAGCACGACGACGAGCAGCGAGACGCCGCTCAGCATCGTGTCCCTAGCCATCAACGGCAACGGCAACAACTTGGTCCTGGACAGCAACGTGGACGCGACGGCCGGCGACGAGGACACGGCCCAGCTGCTGGCCTATCGCGGCGACCTGACACCGATTCCGCGGCCCCTCGGGGTCATCGACACCAAGCTCTTCGTCTTCGATCTCGACGGCGTCGACTCGTTCGAGGCGCGCTCGGGACCGCCCCGTCACCTCGACTCGCCGGCCTTCGCCTGGAACGTCAGCTTCCCCAACACCTCGCATTACGGACAGCCCGAGGAGTTCCCCTTCGAGCCGATCAAGCCCCAATGGTATTGGCAATGACTACACGATTCGCCTCTCCACGACCTCGATTTATGGGCGCGCTCGCAAATCCGAATAAATTATCACCGCCGCGACCAGTCATTGTCATTCAACTTTTTGTTTTCTCGAAATCTTTTTGGAAGCCGCAAGAGTTTGTGTATTTTACGTTAATGCCCACGAAACAAATGTGTTCTCCGGATAATAAACGAACGTCAATTAATTAATAAGTGATTGAATGAGTGCTGAATGAGTGTTGTTTGTAGAAATTTTGCTCGTCGAGATATTTTAATGAAAGAGAGAAAATCTACGTGACATTTATACAATAATTGTTTTTGTTTGTTTTAAATGCAATATATCTGTGATATATATCTTAATGACGTTCGAGTAAATTATAGAGAAATTTTTTCATGCTTCTATCGGCATCACCCGCGTCTCGTTAAAAATGATGGGGAAACCTGAGCGTGAAATTTCAATCGGTATACGAAATTACTAATGCGAATGAATGTATGTAAGTGTGTGTGTGTGTATTTGTACGTCTTGAACAAAAATTAGTCGAAAACGATATTATAATTAATTATGTGTACCAACGATCGACTCTTGTCGCTTTCAAAATGAAATTTTTAATTCGCGCGTGGCCCAAACTGAACAAAAAAGCAGCTGTGAAATCGAAATTGTATTGTATATTTATTAAAAATTGAGCTAGAACAAAATTAACGGGAATTGGTAATATTGAAAATTACGCATCAAGGAGACAATCTCGTATTCTCGGATCTGACGTGCTCCATTATAAACAGCCACGAGTACGCTTTATTATATTATAACTTTATAATATAATAATATATTATAACTTTATTAGGTTTTTTAGAAAATTTTATCGGATTTTTAATTCTAATGACCTTTCGTCTGGATTTTTTTATCGAAAAAAAAGAAAACAATATATCAATTAAATGTGTTCATCTAATTTTTACGAATGATCGATGTAAATTTTATAAAGAAAAACTTTTTACATTGTCATACGCAATGTATTGTAAAACGAATACTAGAATTAAGTCGAACGAAATAAGAGAAAAAATGTGTAGTATTGTATTGTATACCGTACCGGCTGCTTCACATGGCTCATTGTATTAGTGTCTCAATGGTTAATTTTTTTTTAATAACAAAATAAAAATTTTAGAAAAATGGAAAAGTATTTCGGTCTATTTACTTACCTTGAATCAACCTGAACTCCTCCCTACCCAAAAATAACAGAATAAAAAAGTACGACGTTGTATCAAATGTGAAAGTTGCAAAATATTCGAATCAATCGGCCAATATATAAAATAAATAAATCAATGAAAAATTGCTGTTTTATTTGATACTTGCAATTGGCAAACAATTTTGCATTCGGACTGCGTGTAGTATCAAGTCCATGCCTGCCATCGCACGGCGTCTTGCATTACCTCGTGTGCAATGTATAGTACACGCGCATGGAGCACCTGTCAAATCTCGCATGTTGAGACTTGAGTCCGCCTTATCGTCTCTACATTCTTGTGTATACATCAGTTCATTGAATGAAGTTGGCATGAATGATATTCGGTGCCATCGAGTCGTTTCATTTTGTAATTAAATTAACGTGAAACTTATGCCCTTGTTATTTGAAAATAATTAGTCATTTACGGAGATAATTTTGTTCGATCGATGCGAACTTAACCTCTGCTTGCATAGTTTGTTTACTAGACTTTTTTCATTGTTCTACTGTGATTGAGAAGACTGACAGTGATACTGATACCCCCGGTTGGCGTTAAAATAATTATGAAATGGAAATGGAGATAGAATCTCAAAATACCGATGATGTCAATGATATTACGAAGGTTTGTTTGCTGCACGAATTAAGAATTTATTATGTAGTTGCGTTATTTGATGACATAGGGTAATGTGTACCATCTTTTTTCTCATAATAGGTCCTATCGGTACAAAATGAAGACAGTGTTATTCGAGAAGCTTCCAAAAAAATCGATGAAATCGTGCAAAATAAGGCCAATTCTAAACAATCTATCCTTGCCAGTCAGAAAAAATTTGTTATTGAAAATTCCAAGAACAATGAAAGTAGTATTTTGAAAACTCAGTTGCAAAAACAAGTTGAAACTGGAGAAATCACACCTTTTCAAGCTGCCAAAAAAGAGTTAGATGATAAAAATAAATTGGGGTAAATGTTTACTAAATTCATGAAAATTTAAACCAATCAACAAATATTCTTTACATAAAATCTGTATTTTCTAGAAAAACTTTAAAAGAACCTACTCAGCTTCTAGACTTTGAAAAATACCTGCAAGAGCAAGCAGAGCTCGCCAATCAAAGAAGATTATTAAAAAAGAAAAAGGTGCAGGGTAAACAAAAAAATGTAATTCCAACAAAGAAGAAAAAAATATCTGAATTCAATGGCTGTGATGCAACCAAAACTGATGTCCCAAAAGTAAAACAATTTGAAGAAAAACGTGAAAATGTTATTTCTACTATTAAAAAATCAAATGATTCCATACAAAATCGATCATGTATTAAAGCTGACAATTTAAACAAACCAAGCACATCAACATGTAATAATAAAAACAAGCCTTCGAAAAGAAAATATTCTGCAAATGAAAATGATGATGAATCAGGAAGTGAATATTTTCCAAGCGATGATTATGATTCAGACCAAAAAGATACTGAAAAAACAAAACGTAAAAAAAAAGCTTGTGCGTCAAAGAGCCAAAATACTCAAAACAAAAGAGGTAAGGAATAAAATGATCTCATTAATATTTAAAATTGAGCAAAGTATAAAAACTTCAATCTTATGATTTGCATTAGTCCTAGATGATGGAGATGAAGATATTTACAAAGAAAGAGTAGAATCAAGTGGTTATAAAAAAAATGAACCCTTGCATAAAGTGGATAAGATCTTCAAAGTTCCTCAAAAAATATGGAAGAATTTATTCAAGTACAACTTAAAATAAAACTAGAAAATTAAAATAGTTTATTGAAATTTTATTCATACAAACTTATCTATTCAATTTCAGATATCAACGAGTAGCTGTAGAATGGTTATGGGAATTGCATTCCAGAAATCTGGGGGGTTTATTGGGAGATGAAATGGGATTAGGTAAAACTGTTCAAGTCATTGCATTTCTAGCTGGATTAGATTGCAGTGACTTACTTTCAGATGGTGGAAGGTTCAGAGGTCTAGGACCAACAATTATTGTTTGTCCTGCCACTCTACTAGAACAATGGGTTAAACATTTTCATGATTGGTGGCCAACTTTTCGGGTTGTTATGTTTCATCAATCAGGAACATTTCAAGGTATAGAAAAATTGAAGGTTTTTACTTCAAAATAAATTGATTGAGTTATTATTTCAGGTGATTTAGAAGAATTACTCTACACTATGAGAGATGGTGGGATTCTGGTAATTTCATACACAGGTGTTGTCATTCATCAAGAGTTACTCACAAAATTTAAATGGCAGTATGTTATATTAGATGAAGGACACAAAATAAGAAATCCAGAAGCTAAAGTAATATTTTTTTGCTGTGATTGTTGATACTATGACATAACTTTATGTAGGATACTTTACAATTTTATAGGCCAGTAAAGTTGTCAAACGATTTTTAACACCACATCGTCTTCTATTAACCGGAAGTCCTATGCAAAACTCTTTAAAGGAATTATGGTCTCTTTTTGATTTCATTCTACCTGGAAAACTTGGAACTTTGCCTGCATTTATGGAGCACTGCGCCGGTCCAATAACGAGAGGGGGATATGCAAATGCATCTAGATTACAAGAAATAACAGCTTTCCAGGTGGCCACTATGTTAAAGGAAGCAATTACTCCGTACATGCTGAGGAGAACGAAATATGATGTACAGCATCACATCAATTTGCCAACAAAAAATGAACAAGTTCTGTTTTGCAGTTTGACAGAAGAACAAAGAGAATTGTATGAAGCGCATTTGCGTTCTGAGGATGTATCTATGATTTTGCATCAAAAACGTGGTGATGGACAATATAGAGCTAGGATGCTTGTAGCATTAACAGCTTTAAGGAAAATTTGTAACCATCCGGATTTGTATCTGTATGATGACGGCAATGACGTATGAGTTAAACTTGAACTTTCTTTTTATATTAAATTGAATTTATCTTAGTGAGAAATATTTTATAGGCGATTGAAGAAGATGTAGAGGAGGATGAACTCCAAGTAGATGAAAATGCATCGGAAAATTTTGGTCATTGGAAACGTTCGGGAAAAATGACAGTTGTACGTTCTCTTTTGAAAATATGGAAAAAGCAAGGGCATCGAGCTCTATTATTTACCCAAAGTAGACAGGTAGTTAATTTAAATTATTAGGTCCCACAAAAAGTGACAGAAAAGTTTCCAATTTAGATTGTGTAAAAATTACAGATGCTGTATGTTTTGGAAAGTTTGATCCTAAAAGAAAATTATACTTATTTAAGAATGGATGGTACTACTCCAATGAGCCAGCGTCAGTCCGTTATTTCTAAATTTAACAATGTAATTGATTTAAAAAATGTATTTATTACTACTAAAGCACCTTTGCATCAAATATTACTTATAATTATGAAATTTCAGGATGAAAATTACTTCATCTTTTTGCTAACTACTAGAGTGGGAGGATTAGGCGTAAATTTAACAGGAGCCAATAGGGTGATCATTTACGATCCTGATTGGAATCCAGCTACCGATGCTCAAGCACGAGAGCGTTCGTGGAGAATAGGTCAAGACAAAGATGTAACAATTTATCGTCTTATAACTGCCGGAACAATCGAAGAAAAGGTAGGTCCATTATAAGGCTAATTTAATTATCATCATTATGAATTCGTAATTTTTAATTCAAATGTACAGATGTATCACAGACAAGTGTTCAAGATACTTTTATCGAACAGAGTCCTCGAAGATCCTCGTCAACGTCGATTGTTCCACACTTCCGAGTTGACGGAACTTTTCAATTTGAACGTACCCTTGAATGGGGATAAAAGTGAATCGGACAAACTGTTTCGTTCTTCTAAAGTATCACCCGGTCAACCAAATTTTAGTTCTAGTAAAATAGAAGCTATGAAAAAACTCGCGTCTGAGCTAAGCAAAAAGATCGCTCAGAAAGCTTCTTCTAATTCTGAAAATTCTGAAAAGTCGATTAAAAGAAAAAAGAATCAGTTGGAAATGAAAAAAGAAACAGATAAAAGAAATGTTGATTCCACCGTAACTTCTAAAAATAATAAGACTGAAACTATTACCAAAGCTGCCTATGATCTCGCAATTCCTAGTAATATTAACTCCGAAAATATAATCGATGAAAATATCAACAAAACTGCAGAAGACATTTCTGTTAATACAGATATTGAAAATAAAACTATTAAAAATAAGAATAAAGAAGGTGAAGAAAATCACGATAAGCTATTGACAAATGGTGATAGCAACGATATAGAAATTGATACAAGTAAAACCGATGTTCACAATTCAAGAATGGAAACTTCCTCAGATCATCAAATTACTGCAAATAAACAAGATTGTTTGGAGGAAGGAGAAATTAAAGATCAAACCTCTACAGAGACAAAAAAAAGATCTCGTAATAAAATTGAGGAGGAGAAAAAAGAAACTAAACGACACAAAAAATCAAAAAAACAAAAAAAAATTAAATCAGAAAATACTGTTTCAGCTTTGTTTGAAGGTGAACGAATTTCATGTTTAATCGGACGTCGTTTAGGAAAACCAGAGCAAGAGCCCGTAGTAAACGAAGATGATCAATATGTTCTTTCTAAATTATTTTCGAAGTCAGGTAAAAATTATGTGCACCATCATGAATAATTAAAATAGATTTAACAAGTTTCATATTTATAAAATGACCATTTTACTTTTAGCTGTTTGTTCTGCATTTCAACATGAGTCAGTATTATCTAATGCAGTACTAAATCCTGATGAAGAAACACCTCTGCAGAGAGCGGCAAAGAAAGAAGCGTCTGAGAAAATGGATCATATAAGACAATCTCGTAAATGGTGCTGGAGACCTGGTTGGGATAATCCACCCGAAGAACAAGAAGAGTATGCGGATGATGATGAAAATATTGATGAAGAGGAAGACGATGAATAAGTCTCTTTTTTGTTTTTTTTTTATTCAAGACTTGTAAATACGTATATACATTTGTAAATGTGACACGTTTATTCATGCTAAATATTTGTGAAATTTGTGTGTGTTCGCGTTTGTTCAATGAACACTTAGAAACAGTATTGTGTTAACATTGTACAAAATTATTTTTGTATTAATTTTTATAATAAAATTTGAAAAAAATATCCAATCAGCTGAAATTCAAACAAGTCTAATTAATGAACTTGACATTTTTTTTTACGTTGATCACTTAGAATTATATGTAACGGAAAGCCAAACTGTGATGTTAGTAGTGATAAATCTCTAGTAGAAATAAAATTTAGAAATTATGTACATGAACGACGATTACCAATTAATCATAGCGGCTTCGCAAAAAACTCGAAATAACAAATCCACTTCTAAATATTAATAAACAAAAAGTAAATATTATAAAAACAAAAATGGACGACTACGAATCTGTGTCACATTTTGCAAACAAAAAGCGTTTTTCGACATTTTATGAATTACATAAAATTTTAACCAGACATTGTAGCGCATTCTTGTCAAGTTTTTAAACGGTTTTGGTTCTGCGACTCTTCTTTTTCTCATATCACATTAAAGCGCAATAAATCGTTTCAATGTTTTAGAAATTCTGATAATTTTGGACCGTGCCTTCCCAAAGGATCATTAGGGAACATAACATAACCGTTAACGTAAGTCGGTACTAGTATTCGATTCTCTATAGTATCTCGGAATGCAGGCTCCTCATCATACAAATCTCGATATTGATCTTGTGAAACTACGATGCCATCGCAATTTTTTGCATATTCCAAAATATATCTGTTGAAATGATTAATGGATTGCATCAAAATTCGAATTTAAATGAATATTATAATTACTGTACGTACCTGTCATCGTAAGGCACAATTCGTTTATTGCCAGCTTTTCTACTTGGTGTGAAAACTAATATTCCATCCAAATGCCATTTTTCTAGCATTGGAAAACTTTTACACCTTTTATGTTGAGGTACAAAAATTTTCATTTTGTGCCCTCGTTTGGTAAAATAGTCAATGAGTAACTGTATTCCTTGTTCCGAGAAGGCCTTACCGTTTGTGTACCTATTAAAATAAGCTCAGAAAGTTAATTCAAAAGAACCATACAAAGTAATAATATGAATAAAGGAAATCGATACTAACGCCATGGCACAATTACTACCATCAATCACAATTTCTCGAGGAGTTCCCTTTTTTGGTATATTTTCGTTTGTACCATGAATGTAATCACTTTGTCTACGCAAGGCATTCCGTTTGAACTCTTGGCTTCGTTTGTTGGGGGATATTTTTTGTTTAAGAAGTGCACGCTTGGTTTGTTTCGGAGATTTTTTTTGGGATAATTTCAATGTGTTTTTACTATTATTTTTTGATAATTTGGTTGGTTCTGAAGCCCAAACAACCAAACATTCATCGCTCTGCCTTTTTTGCAATTTTGGTTTTGCAGTTTTTACTGAAATCGATAATGAAATTAATTTACTTATATTTCAGATGACAGAAACAATGATAACAAACAACTTGCACAACTCACCAGGAGAATCTTCATCTATTATAATAATAGAGTCAGAATTTGTCGAATTTTTTGGAGTTTCAATAGTTTCTGTTTGAACTTTACTTTTTGTTTGTGTATTATCTCCGTTATGATCTTCGACAACCATGAAATCTCCATCTACTTCATGAAGTACTCTAACAGGTGCAACAGGTGGAACAGATTCTGCATTGGGAGTTTTAGTTTGCGGTTTGTCAATAAATGTTTTATTGCTGTGTGGAGTATTAAATTCATCTATTATTTTATTTGGGAGCAGGACATCTTCTATTACTATAATTGAATCATCATCACATTTTTCAGATGAGTTAAAGCTGTTTCTTGGACGTTTGAGACTTTTTTCTGGAGTGACAGGATTTTCCTTTCTGTTGATTAAAAGGAGTATTTAATCGTCTATTAAATAAAATATAAATGCGATTCATATTTTACTTTCCTTTTTGAACACGTCTGTTTGCTAGCAAGATTAATTGGATTAATAAACTTTCTGTTTAAAATAGTTTGCTTTACCGGTGTTCTACTTTTTGATGATTTAGCATTAGGAGTTAACTGAGATTTGCCATTTTTGCTGGAAGATTGACTAGAATTGTTTCTCAATGCTGTGTTTTGAGCCAATGCACTGTTATCATAAAATCCCTCATAAAAAAACAAAACATTTTTAATATTTCCAATGAATATGTTCACTTACCTGTTATGGTAGAAATGCTTTAGAGGACTTTCATAAACCGCATTGAGAGGGCTTTCTAAAATAGACAAAGCCATTGTTGAGAACTTTTCTGTTTTTTTCTTTTTGATTTTTCTATTTTTCTTGTTTTTCTTCAACAAGTTTTGTTTAGAATCGATACTCTTCCTCTTTTTCATTAGAAAAAATGTTCGTTATACAACGTTTTCGATATAAATCTTGAATAAACTGTGCAAATCATACGCACAACTGTTTGTCTTGGTTTTTCACAATTCTCGAACATAACCTGCGTATTAATGGGCTCATCACGGACATATACGATTTACACAGTGTACAGAGATGTTAGGGATAGTTGAATCTACATACATCCATGTGATAGCATGTATTGTATACTACAATGTACGATGTACGATGGATCACTTTGGTGTAATCCCTAAAATTTCCAAATTCCCCCAATACCGTTACAACACTAGATGAACCGTTTACAACCGCGAAATGACAGCTGCTGGTTGCAGCAGGCTGCTACTTGTTCAGCTAGTTTTGCCTCGCGCACATTGCCTTGTTGCTCGACCAACCAACATGGCCGAAGTGAGCGTCTAAAACATTGCATAGCTCAGAGATTGTTTTTCGAGCAGCAAACTCTCCTTCGAGGTACTTCTTGAGAATGTTGCAGCGATTGAGCCTAAAAAAAATTGTAGTGACTGTTGCAGTTGACTTGATTAAATAAGGTAATTTTATAAATCTACAAAGTGATTGTAGGTTATTTAGTAAGCCGGTATTTTGAAAAAATTAGGAAATTTAACGATAATATAATAACTTAAAATCAATTTATAAAGAAATATTACAGAAACTCTAGTTTGGAAAGTTAAATTTTTCATTCGTATAAGCTTATTATGCAATCTTTTTAGTGAAGAAAAAATGCTATTGCATATTAAGTAATGATCATCTTTTCATACAAATTTTCAGGTATTAAAATAGGATTATTAAAAATGGAACCAAGTGAAGTTGAGTTTTTGGGAGAGAAGAAGATGGTTAGTATTGTACCTCATTTTAATTATAGTATCATTCATCTGATTTCTGGACCAGTTGGTCCATTTCGTGCTAATTTACCCGTAAAAGTACCGATATGGTTGGCATTGCAATTGAAACAACAACAGAAATGCAGAATTGTAGCTCAAGATTGGATGGACGCAGAGAATTTAAATGAACTTATAGAAAAAGAAAAAGGTGAAAAGTAAGTTGATTAGAATTAAATTTGTTGAAAATCGTCAATTTTTTCTAAATTTAGAAATTGTAATTCACTTTTTCTACTTTAGATTATTTACTGAAATGCCAAGCGATCATTTCATGGATGAAGCACAAATGCTATTAACTGCAGGAGCTGACGATATACCTGATGTTGATAATATTAGAACTGCAGTCAAAGTTAGTATCCTTATGCATTGCATAGAAAACTATCCAAAATATAATATTAATTATTTTCATTTTTATACTTTCAGGACATTTGGGATTTAAGAAATGCCAAACTTCGAAGTTCTGTAATAGCTTTTGTAAAAAATCAAGGATCTACTTATGCCAAACTTGATCATCTTACTGCAATGGAAATAAACAGTATACGTTCATTATTGCCAGAAACTCTGAATGTAATGCTTCAAATAGAGGAATCTGGAAAATCATCAGTATCAACTGAATCACAACAACTTTCCTCAACTCTTGATACTTCGCATTCACAAAATCAGTCCTAGCAAATAAGTGTATAATTGTTGTGTTTTGTATTATTAGCTTTTAAGTTTTAAATATTAGGTATTTTATAAGATAGAATATAGGCTTTGTATCAATCTTGTACAAATAAAATTCCATGTTATGAAATTCATAATTCTTATTTCTTAAAAAAAATACTTGAACCTTTATATAATTCAGAAAAAATTAAAAATTTTGAATGTGGGTAGATAAGTAATATCATTGATTATTTTTTTTAACTTTAATTTTTATTTTTGTCCTTATACTCTAATTTTCTTTGATTTGTCTTTAAAATATACATCTTAAACTAGCATCTCAATCACATTTCCTCCGCCTAATATCTAATAATACAAATAATATTTACAATTTATAAAGTAGCTGAATTATTCAATAATTTTAAACATTTTTCACAATATTTACATATTTATATAGCACACGTCTAAAAATTAAAAGAGGACGATCAATCTTTGATTACATAGAGAATTAAAGCTCGTAACAGAGCCATATCAAAAACTGAATATTACAGAGTGCGTAAATTGTTGCGACTACATTATAATCGGACTTATAACATAACGACAAATTACAATTGAAACTCGACATGTGATAACTTGACGTAACGGTGCACACATACACAGACGGTGCACGAACATCATCGTTACGAAAGCTCAACACTAGTGTTTACCCTCCAAAACATTATGATAATTATAAAAACGTCAAACAAATGGTGAATGAAAACTTGGTGGTACACGACAGTGCGAGGGAGGTACGAGGCAGTACCTCATGATTAATAATGATAAAAAATTTGCGTCGATGAACAGAAATGAGAAAAATTCGAAATAATGTACAAGCGATCAAAATCGTAATAACAAGTAAAAATGTACGCTGTGCGTGGTTTCAAACGGCGACGATCTTGCTCGGGTCGATCTTCACCCTGATGAACATGGTGTCGTCTTTGATGAACTGGCGCTTCCGGATCATCTCGTGCGAGACGAAGCGCGGAAAGCCGAAGCCCAGGGAGTCGGGCTCGCGACTCGGCCTCTGGAAGTTCTTCCACGTCGGGTCGGGTATGAAGCTCTCGACGATGTTACAGGCCTTCTCGGCCACCAGGGCCTGATCTAGCAGTGTGAACGAGACGCTGTGGGCGAACGGCCACTTGAGCAGCGCGTCGTACTCGCCTGGCAGGATCTTGATGTAGACGGAGATGTGCGAGTTCTCACCGGTACCGTTGCCGTTGAGGAAGAGCGACGCCTGAAAAAGCACACGATCGTTTAGTCTTATAAAGCTCCATAAGAGGCGATTCGTCACGCCAATATAGAGAGGTATTATCGAGTAGCTCACCTGAAGCTTGTAACCGTATTGACTAGTGTAAAAGGGTGGGCTGACGAGCTCGACGCCTTCCTTGGACTTGGCCTCGGCCAGTTTGGCGCTAAAGTCCGAGATCTTCCAGATGAGCGTGCCCGAGTAATTGAGCGACATCTTGCCGAGGGCCGCCTTGAGGCTGGATATTTGGTGCTGCTGTTTCGTCACGACGCCGCAGACGAGGTTCAGGTGGACCTTTGTCGACTCGTCCATGTGCTTGTCGAGTGAAAATCTGTTGCCCTGTTGGTCAAACAAAGAGACGAGATTGATAATCGTGAAATTGAGGCAGGGTTATCATAGCTCCGAGCTTTTTACAATTGGAGGATATAAATTACCTTGAAGCGGCAGCCGGCGTCTTTGAAGCTGCAGGCGAGCAGGTGGGTCGTGCAGTGGTCCTTGAGATGGACCTCGAGATCCTCGCGGGGCAGTACGGCGGTCTCGCAGCGATGCGGACAGGCCACGGGGAAGCGGCCGCACTTGGCGTGATGGGCCGAGAGCGTGTCGAAGACGAACTCCTTCTGGCAGTAGCGGCAGGCCATGAGGCGCTTGGCGCACTCGCCGAGCTTGTGCTGGCCCAGATGACGGCGCTGCACCTTCATGCCGCACTTGTTCTCGCAGTAGAGCGGCTCGTAGCCGCACTGGCCGAGGTGCTTCTCGAGGTTGTAGCCGCTGAACTCCTTGGCGCAGAAGTCGCAGCGCGCCCGCCGCTGGGCGCACGTGTACTTCAGGTGATCCTCCATGAGGACGCGCGGTATCATGGCGCCGCACTTGTTGCCGCACGGCACCGCGTCGTGCTTGCACGTGTTCAGGTGGGACTTGAGCTTGCGCAGCTCGTCCGACCACTTGCAGCCGTCCTTGTGGTGGATGCAGTACACGATCGAGCCCATGATGGCTTTCTCGGCCTCGAGGTCTTGGAACGTCTGCAAAATCAACAACGAAACAACTTTTAAAACTCCTGCTCAACCATCGACGTTGCAATAATAATGGTATAATTATGATTAATTTCTTCTATCGTCGTGTCATATCCGTGTACGCCCATGTGTATAGCAGTGTATATTGTGAATTATTTACGCTTGCAAGACAATCTTCCTTCGTGTATGGGCGCGCGCGCGCGACCGATTGAAATATAAAACTTTCGACGTGTACGCGTACGTTGGAGAGCCAAATAAAAATATCAATGAATGCAACGCGCGTGCCCATCCGTGTACAATACACGATATATCCATTCTCCGAGATTGTAATATTAATAAAGTTTCGCCGACAATACGCAGACACGAGTGCGCCCAGGACGCGATTTACAAAAAAAAAACTCGCTGCGTGAGTAAAGGAAAGAGAGGAAGAAGATGAAGCGTGTCGCGCGCGTGGGTTAACCGAGCGCCTCCTTCGACGCAGCTCCGCACACACACACACACATTGTTTCTATATTTTTCATTATATCATATAAGGATGCATTTGGTGAAGCGAGAAAAGTGCAAAAACATATCCATCATTTATAACGAGCCAAGAGTTGGCGCGGAATCTTTTTCTCTCGTCGCTTTTAGATTTTGTACCTACGCGCAGTTCGTCGCGATTTATATAGAATTCATAGAACGAACCTATGCGTGGATCGCGCGCGGGAGATGCGACATCTCTCTTCCCGCGGTCGATCACCTCTCGTGCGCCCAGCTAGATATACGCATGCCTATATACCTACGGTTGATATATTTTTAGTCGAAAAATGAAGCAAGAGGACGAGGAACCGAGGTTTATGTGTGTGTAAATCGAGTAGGCACTCACCAACTCCGGCTCGAGTTTAAATGTAATAACATAAATGCCGCAGCCCGTGTGAGTTGCACATACACACACACATACACGCATTAAACTCTACATAGCGCAAGCTGCGCCACGACGTTGAAATATATTCTCAACGAAGCGTCTATTTTCGAGTTAAACTTGGTTAATATACGTTTTCATCTTGGTTCTTTTTTTTGCTCTTTCGTTTCGTTGCGGGCCCTCCCGCGTGCACTAGCCGCATCAAGAGCAGCGCGCGCTAATTCTATTTATTTTCGTTCACTTGCTGAAAAAGCGCCTGCTCGCAAAAAATCTTCGTACGTATAATAATCGCGCACGATGTGCGAATTATAATTTTAATGAAGCTGGAAATTGCCGAGCTCGAGCGAGAGCGTCTGCCGGCCTAGTCCTGTGTGTATTGTACTAATAGGCGTACGATTCAATTTTGAAAATTGTTGCTGCATACCGCCACGCAAAGAAAATACGATATATTTGAGCCGCGCATTGTACACGAATGTCGGGGGTAGCAAATATTTACCAAGATCATGTGAACGATCGTTTACGCCGAGCCCGATTGGTTGGATATGAATTATCGCGCTTTTGACCGATTATAAATGTGCCCGTGTTACGGATATTTTCGCGATAAGGATGCGCTCGTGCGCATATAGTTGCAGGTGGAAAAGTAGAAAAATGAATGGATGCACGCGTTGTTTCAATGAAATGCTCAAAGATACGAATCTTGGCGTGTACTTATAGAACCTGTCTGCGCAAGTTTACCGTTGATCTCCTTTTATACGTTTATATTAGCTTTTTAATTAGTCGAATTGAAGCGAATGTAAATCAGCTCGGATTCTTCCGTCATACGGCGTGTATATAAGTTCTAATGGCTGGGAAAAATATGAAAGATTATTAGCATAATTCAAACTTGCACGCTTGGATATTTTTTTCGCTTCCGAGCTACATGGCTATATATATGAAACGAGTCTATAAAATAGAAACGCGTCTCGCGCATGCTGATAAAATTATTATTTATTAGAATTTAAATGAATTCGAGACAAAATCAGAGATTCGATATTGCGGGTAGCACATTGGGTGCAAATATGCGCGCGTGAGCCTCGGCAGGATCAGTAAATATACTATATACAAGTTGTGCCGTGTGGCATGTATACGGCTCGGTACGCGCCGTTACCGACTCACGCAGGTATGCATAGGTACTGCGGGTCTGGGCTCGCGACGTGGGAGATATAGATATATTATGCGTGTGTGCAGGTATACTTGCGAGAATGGAATGCGCCGATCGACTTTAATTTCCGACGACGACGACGACGACGACGTTCACACACAACACCTACGACGCGCGATACAATGCGTTACACAGCATTATGTATATCGCGCTCGCGGTCACACGAGAGAGAGACCTTTAGCAACGATTCGTTCCGATTGCCCTCCGAACGCGTAATATTACCGATACAATAACGTTTATTCTATTCCGTTTTGTTGCAATTTTTTTGCTCCTGAAATTTATGTAACGAGCTATCGGGCAAGATGATTGGCATGCTGTATTATTCGCACTGGCCGGGTGCACACACATGCGTTGATAATAATATCGCGTGTTGAGACGATCGCGAGCCACCTCGAGTTACATTATATATAGGTAGCTCGGCTACCGAAGCAATTGTGCAGCGCGTATAATACGCGCGGAGCAGCGTCCAAGAGTCGGCCGGCCGATAATAAGCTCTCGCCCCGCGCGTGCTCGATAAACTCGACTCTCTCTCTCTCTCTCTCTCTCTCTCTCTCTCTCTCTCCCTTTTTCATACCGATACATCAGCTTTTATATTGCAGCTGCTGATCTGCTACTGCTACTGATCATCATTCAGGCGGGGATTATACTCGTTGCATATGTATAATGCATCTCTGTATACGTGCAAAACGAGCGGAAATGGCAAAAATGAAGAAAAGGCAAAAGTTAATTCAGATATGCGCAGCGCAGGTCGCTTATATAGCTATATATACAAGCTCGCGCGTGCACATCGCCGCTGCAGTCCAAGTGCCAAGGTGTAAAAAGGCCTATACCTGTATACATACGCTCCTCGATCGCAGCCCCGCACCATGCACGAGAGGCAAAAATCCAGTTTCTCTCTTTCTCTTGCGAGCGCGCGCCTGTTCCAGCGAGTCTCGACAGGTATATGTCATATTATAATCGCGAAGGTCGACGAGCTATATACTGCACGTCTGGCTCGGTTGTTGCGCTTTTCATTGCTCCGCCAAAATTCGGTGAGAAGAAGAAGTGCTCTATACGTGAGACACGCGCATGCTGCGAGCTCACGCCGAAGCGAGAAAGCGAAGCGCGAGGTTCGGTATTATATACCGCTATCGATTTATTGCGGCTTCGTCGGACGGTAAAGGATGTGGTGACATTCCTTGGCCTTAAAGCCGCTCCGTAGATGCACTGCACGCAGTCGGCGAAATTCGGAAGTTCCTGCGGTTTATCGCACCTTTCCCATCCAGCGTAGATGCGAAACGTACAGCGGCGCACGCGCGTATAATACATTGTATTTTATATCATTAACGCGTTGTGTGTACCGAATTGAATAATATTTACGATTTTGCAACCTCGGCCATTATAATATCAAACAAACATTGCGCAATGCGCACGAGTCCCATGTATAATAAATACGTACGTTACGACTGCTCATGGGAGCCGCCGCGCGACGCTCGCGGAGAAAACCGCGTGGGCAGTCGCGACTCGACGCTCCAAGCGTCCCATTAAAATATAGTCCTATAGTTCTGGTAGTAGTAAGTAGTAGTAGATACAGACTTATGTAAAAGTCTTGCTCGCTGCAAATGTTCGGCTATTACACGACGTCGTTAAAAGTCGGCGGCGACTTTCCATTTCGTCCTCTTCTTACTCACTGACTTATCTTTCTAAGTTAGCGCGACGACCGTCAGTTCGCATCACTGCAAAGATTGACCGATTTCGATCGGTGTATATACATACAACATTCCCGTATGTATACGTTTGTGGTTTCTTGCTACAGCATATATCTGTATAGCTCGAGTTTGATCGACGTTGACCGCCCAACGCGCTGATTTATTAAAACCCGCATGTATATAGTCGCGTGCGTAGCGTCCGCGTGAGTCTGCATCACAATGTATAAAAGCGGGCCTATATATAAAAATGTGGTATAGGTTTTTTTTTTCAATAAGCGTAATTTAAAATCGCCCCGATAATCGTCTCTTCCGCTTTGGCGTTTTTTGAATTAAAAACTCGAAGCAAAGCGATATGCGAGCTATACGTACGCCCGTATAATAGGAGCAATTGTTTGATATATTATATACGTATAAGTGGCGTAAATATCAAAGCTGCAATATATGTGTCTGCTTGTGGGGAGCAGGAACTTTAAATTCGGTATAGATTCGATCGAGTGACAGCCATTTATATACATGAACCGACATAACTAACTCATTTGTCTACGTCGTATAATATCCTGGCTGTCTACAATGGTTGCTCGCTTGGCTTAGATTCGAAAAAAGCGAATGAAAAAAAGAAGGAGAAACGAGGAGAAGTGCTGCTCCTTCTCGGATTGTTTATGTGTCCTACTGTCGCGCGTTGAAGTTTAAAATAAATAGAAAACTGCGTTCTATAGTGCGGGAGCTTATAACGGTTTTGAAGTATTTTTATGTACTTGTCGCATCTTTAAAACCCGCATATCATGCGTGTTACATTACATCTATGTGTAGAGGGCATTTTGTCATCCACGTAGAAATCGGGACCAGAAGGCGAAAATTGTTTTTCTCCGCTCGCTTTCGACTCGATCGTGTTCATACGATGTATACATTTAGGAGCCATAAGACAAAGCGAGGAAAATATATCGTGTGCATCATACAACACGGAGAGCGACACAAACAAAGGTATAATATGTACGCGCATAGCTCGTGATCTTCGAAGCGCATCGTCGCGTCTCCTCAGCGCCGCAATTTCATATATATACAGTTCGTGTTTCCCCTTTCGTTCGACGACCGGACGAGAGGTACGCTATATACACGGATAAGGTTCCTTCTCTTTCTCGACGAGGAGGACAAGCCTCGAGCATAAGTGAGTGAGCGAGTGAGAGAGAGAGAAAGAGGAGAAAGGAACTTGAGGAGTCAT